GGGTGCATGGACTCGACGAACGAAATCGACGCTCAACGGCCGATAGGTAGAATCATAGACCTCTGTATCTGTAATCATAGACCTCTAACGGTTTGGTTTACAGAGCCAGAGGTTTAATGTAGAATACATATTTAAGCACATTGCTTGTTCATCATGATCATACATAAGTGTAATTATGGGCAAAGGATAATTGAGATTGGGGATGCTTAGACAAATTGACTGAAACCAAATTGTGACGATTGACGATTTCAACCAAACTGTGATGTGTTCCACTTTTCACATAGCCATTATGCCGTCTCATATGGAAGGTGCAGCTCCGCAGGTTATCGAACGCTGTAAAAGCGCATAGTAAAAACGAAATGATGGCTTTCTCTGGTCTCATGTGACACCGGGTCCTCCTCCGTATCTAAATAAGCAGGTAATCGGAGCCCTGTGTATTGGAGTGCCCTCGTCAGATAGGCCGGCCCAAGGTCACCACCGGTCCTGTCTGATCCGGACAGGACCGCTGCGCGCGGCGCCTATCAGCTCGAGAGCCCACACCCCTCGCCGATAGATTCAGCCTTGAGAGGCAGACGCACCGTCATCCGCAGTACACAGGCCACACACACACTCAGCGGAAGGACGGACCGGAGCCGCCTTCTGCCGCGCGCCATTGTGCCAGGCCCATTGGCGAGACGTGGACAGCGATTGGCCCGAATTAGCATCCACAAATAGCATCTTTAACCCTCGCCGGCCGAGGGGGGGGGGCGGGTGCCGCCCCCCCCCATAGGGTTTTTTTTCGCGATAGCTCCAAACACCCTGGCGATAGAGAGCTGAAACTTGGCATACCTGACCTTTGATCCAAGCCGGATCTTTTGACACCAACCGCATTTTTGGGTCAGGTCAGGTCACTGACCTATGACGTCATAAGTGAACCTCTGCACGGTCTTCAGATGTCGCAACTTCGCAACGCCCTCACTGCCAGAGGAGATGTCACAGGGAAATGAAACTTGCAGGATCTAGTATCCATTATGAGTCCCACAACTTGTATATCTCGGATTTTTCCTAAAGGTCATATGAGGTCAGGTCATTTTCGTGACCTCACCATTATAAGTCAATGGGGAAAAATGAAAACTGCTATTCTGGCGCCGGGAACGATCTCCAACTATCTCAAGCATACAGAATCGTGATTTGATGCACTCCTTGCAAGGGTAGATGCGTCACTTTTGCAATGTTGACCTTGCGTGACGTCATTTATGACGTCATCAAGGTCATATTAGTTTTTCGTCAATAACTCTTGATCAAATTGAGCTAGCGAGTCGGGAAAGCCACCAATGGACTCAGGAAGACCTGCCGAATCGAATGATATGCGACATGACCTCTTTCGACCAACTTCGTGACCTGGGGGTGCTGACCTTACCTTGACCTGAGGTCACCACCCCAAGTTGACCTGACCCGGACAAAAAGTATATCATTCGACGCGCCTGAGCGAGACGAACACGATGCTGCCAAAATCGGCGCTCTGCGGCCGTTTTTTGCGAAGTTATTCACCAAAAACTGAACCGTACCTTGGGGCACTTGACCTGACCTCAGAGGTCACCGGTTGACCTAGGACCTTAAAATCGGGTACCAATCTCTGCGTCTCGTAACGGCGCACACGCTCGTTTTTTCCGCGACGCGCTAGCTCCACCAGGGGCGAAACGGCGAGGGGGGGGGTCGTACCCGCCCCCCCCCCCCCTCGGCCGGCGCGTATGTAGAAAACCAATAGGTCCGGCGAGGGTTAAGCCACACATGGGCTCGCTAGATTCACAGATGCCCAATCGCGAGTTTGAGAAGCAGCTTCTGAAACATCGATTGAGCGCCCACTCGCGCCCGTCCGTCCTTTCAGACCAACCATTTCGTCCAACAATGTCCAATGTCCATCCATTGACAATGGCACTCGGTTAGGTCACCATTAGCTGACACCTAGCGACTGTCAGCACCAACTGGTACTCAGAGAGGTCACCGCCGGCCGACACCCAATGACCGTCACCATCAACTGAAAATATAGTGACCTCGCCATCCAGGCTGACACCCAATGACTGTGACATGACTGTGACCCAATGACCGCCGGCTGACATCCAATAAAAGTCATCACCCGGACTGGCACTCAGTGACGTCACTACCCGCTGACACTGAATGACGTCACCGCCGGCTGACACTCAGTGACGTAACCACCCGCTTCCTTTCAGGTGGGCATGGGCCTGGAGCACCTGAAGCTGCTGATGCCAGCCCTGGCCCGGTTCCACTCATGTAACCACCCGCCTCCTTTCAGGTGGGCATGGGCCTGGAGCACCTGAAGCTGCTGATGCCGGCCCTGGCCCGGTTCCACTCTGTCGGTCTGGTCCTCCGACAGAGGCACTCTGAGCGTGCCGACCGGCTGCGGCAGGTCAGTCACAGCGCCGGTTCACCAGACAGAACCTAAGGGTTTAAAATAAAACACGGGGTGCTCTGTTTGTAGGAGTGTTCTTGTGAGCAGCGCTATTTAATCAGCCAATGTAAAGATGCTCTTTTGAAACGATCAAATTATTGACCATGTGCTTTTGTTGGAAAGAGATGATCATTATCAATGTCCAGTATTTTGTCTGGTTCACTGTGTCTCATTGAAGCCTCATTCAATATGACTGCCGTATCATGTCTGAGACCACCCTCGCTCCGCCAGGTGGTTGGCAAACTGCCCGAGGGCTTGGATGACCTGTCGGCTGAGCGGTCACCGTGCTGCGCCGCGCTGGAGTACATGGGCTTGCAGAAGGAGGCCGATGTGCTGGCCAAGTTCTGCCACGTCGACTATGTCAAGGAGACCTACAAGAACGCCTTCTCCGAGGACCTGGACGTGGTCACCCTGGTGCACGGCGACCTCTGGAGCAGCAACATGATGTTCCGGGTACAAAGCCTACAGTTGTAGTCACACACTTCTGAACATTCGCGTCAATACGCAACCGCTAGAGCGCGCCGGCTAAGCCGATACCATACCAGGGTTGGGTATTCTTTTGCGCCTTTCTCTATGTATATTGTTACCCACTGAACTAAAGCATTACTGATGATTCTAAAATTGATAAGCAATATAATTTTGGTTAGATGAGCTTACCCTCAAATTGAATTTTTAAGGTAATCCTATTAAACCTTCGCTCCTAAAGCGGACCCGGAACACGCCTGCTCACAGCTCTCTGACCCGCCCGTCCCTCGACCTCTCCGGCAGTACGAGACGGATGCCGACGGCACTAACCACCCGGTCGAGGTCCGCTTCGTGGATCTGCAGATGTGCCAGTTCGGCGACCTCGCCTATGACCTGGTGTACTGCCTCATCAGCTCGAGCAGGAGGGAGACGCGGCGCGACCACCTCCGGCAGATGCTCACCTGGTGAGAGGGGGACTGTGTGGTTTCCATCGGTGTGTGCCTGCCGTCTGAGTGCCTTGCTTGTTTATTGCCATGGCCACCTGCAGTTTATGGTTGATGGCTATTAGACTGTTTGTCTGTTTGTTGTTACTTGAGGGGCACCGCGTGCATGAGGTTGAGTGATGAGGTATGCGCTCTGTGATGGTGTCATGGGTCCGTGATAGACTCTAAACACTGGGAGATGAAGACAGTGTACCGACCCCGACATGTTACGTAATCAATGGTGACTTGTCAATCAGAGAAAAAGGTACAGTCTCCTAGCCCAGAGACAGATACCGTGCCCATCAGCACCCACTGCCATTCCGTGCCCGCTTGATGGCCAGGTACGAGGAAGCGTTCCGCAGCCAGCTGCTGGAGCTCGGCGAGGATCCCGAACAGGTGGCGCCCTGGCTCAGCGTCGACTGGCTGATCGCCCGGTACAGCAATGGCCTGGCTCAGTACATCAGCTTCGCACTCAACGTGGTACAGGTGAGACGATCTCGATCGAAGCTCGACAAGTTATTCATAGTACTCAAAAGGGAGATTGTGAGAGAAATGCTAGCGACAGGGCGGATTTCAAGGTTAAGGAACGACATCGTCACTTACCACGGCGGGTTGGGAACTTATTTCGCGGCGTTTCAGGTAGTTGATCATCCTGAGTGTCAGGTTGGTTTACCATCGGCATCCACAAGCCCAAATTCACCTAAGCGCCGATCATACTTGTTGCGCGCAATGGCCAAGAGTTCGCACAAGTGTGGACCCCATTTCCCTGCTTGGGTCAGCTCCCGTTCACAGCGTCCTTACCAGCACGCTGACTCCCCTCCCTTCTTTCCCTGCTCGTGTCAGCTGCTGTTTTCCTCGGACGAGGATCGGAACGACCTACTGGGCGGCACCAATATGGGAGACTTCGTCAAGGCGATGCAGCGACTTCGGGAGCGATGGCAAGAGGGCAAGTGCGCCCCGGCCCTCCAGGAGAGGTTACTCGGCATCGTGGAGGACATGAAAGAGTTCGGCCACATGTGACGTCAGCCGTGACGTAGCAGTGACGTCACCCGGGTGACGTTAGCATGTCCCAACACAGCCGGCTTGGGGCCGGGAAGACCACCATCAATCAATGTGTGCACTTATGTGTTCTCTTGATCAATTCAGGAAATGTATAATCAACTTCTTCGCCAAGTTGTCCACGCAGATTCTGACGCTATATATTATGGTCATTGCATCAACGACATACTGTAAGCGTACACAGCGTCAGGTGCCTCAGTGCTCATAAGTCAGCTAGACCATTGCATGACAATTGAAGTTTGATTGTATGTAGAATCATTCATTGATATACATATCGGTGATTTCAGCGTTGGTCGTGGTCGTGTGTGTGACAAGTTGTGCCTGTAACACAGACCCATCGTGCTGTTAAGCATGTACAATACCATCGAATGCTCTTGGGTAGGTATGATTTGGGATCGGAATGCTTTGGATATCTATTAAGCTAGTCATAGACCGCTGTATACCGAGGTCTATGAGCTGGTGTGTTGTTATGCCGTAAGTCGTGTCAGTCGAATGCGGTCATCCTATTCCTCTGCAGGTGAAATGTTATTTTTTAAACACGTTTGTAAAGGTGACATGCGACAGTTGTCATTGTATTCATTGGTTGAAAAAATAAAATAATGTACCTCAATTATTTCAGTTCTTCAAGAAACAGCAACTCTGTTTTGACAACTGTTCACAGTTTTACTCATCAACCACGCGCTTCTTATGAATATCGCTTAGGTTCGAGGCCAAATGCAAAAACATTTTGACTATATTATTACAAATGTCCCTGCCTGGCACAACAAAATCAACCTATTCTCAGCGGCATGCCACGAGCACTAGGTAGCAGACCAGCGAAGCCCAGCAGACCATCCGACTGCCTCTGCACCCTGCAGTACGGGTCTGCCGACAGACCTTGGCCAGTACGGACGGGACTGTCGACCCACCGGTCGCGTTTCACTTCATCGCGCACTTCGGGTGGGGAGGAAGGGACCCTGCCGGCCACCTCCAACGCTGCACGTCCAGTGAAGACGAACACATCACACGATTACTGGATCAACTGTCACGGGCTTCAATGCGGAACAGATCACCATTTGAATTGATTTCGTGACACGATGCATAGTTTGCCGGAGCACTGATCCCGTGCTGTCATTATCACCGCCACCGCCACTGGACACTGTCTGGGAATCAGTGACGTCACCGGCACCGACCAGTGACGTCACAGAGCGAACGATCTTCTCTCGAAGAAAGTTTTCACAGGGACGCTAGCCGAGTATCAACTTGAATAGAATTGTTAACACGTTGAGAAATATCAAAGGGACTGAAACAGACAAATAAAAGTAGCGTCAGAAGAAGGATAAACGAACAATTTTACCATTTACAAACTACGATGAATACAAAACCAATGGATTCACGAACGTTATCGGCAAAATGTAACGAAGTTGATTAGGGTCACGAGCTTTGTCATTCAAAAGAACCAATCACCTGACAGTTTCCAGGACATCGATTCGATTAAATTAACTAAATTATCTATGAATACTGCGAATTATAGGTACAGGGGTCGCGGGTTTTAGCGGTAGGTTTTGCACCTAGAAAATTTAGTGTACTTCAGGCTATATCTTCGTCGTCTTAAGCTTTTAAGTGTTGAAGATGCGATCGACTTGTTGGGTAACAAGCCGGCCATGATCGTGTAAAATGGCTTCATCGTAGATCGATTAGTTTCTGAGATATAACCGGAAATGTAAAAGTGCAAAACCTACCGCTTAATCTCGCGAGACCTGTACCTACTGCGTTAAGTCCGGTTAATTAAAGGGACTATCCCACCTTTAACATGGGGTTTGAGTTGAGATAGCCAAGTTTGCGGCGAGGTTCAGAAACCACTATCTATCTAGGTTGCAACCCCCGCGGCCTCTTGGTGTTGAAGAAATTCGTTCCCTTCATTTGAAAATGGGCCTTGCACAAGGCCCTATCTTCAACATGGAGCGACCGTTAGTGTGACGTCATCTCATTTAGTCATTCTGATTTCAATGGGTTTGTTCGTTGAAAAATCGCTTAAAACTTGGTCTGAACTTTGTTGTGGTGCCTACAGAGTAAAAAGAATCAGCTTTATGACAGTAATGTGGCCTGGGGAAGGAGGTAATTTTGGGCTGTGACGTCACATATTTGAATGTTTTTGTTTGGAATATGGGAAGCCTAAGATGTTTAATGAAAAATAAATACCAGAACCGTGTTCCTGTTCATCCAATCTATAAAGTCGGGCACAATTTAACTGGTTTTAACAACATTTTAGAAGGTGGGATAGTCCCTTTAAGTCCCGTACTATGCAAAATTGTGCACACTTTTTTCACCAATCGTCAAAGCTGCAGTACCGGTTTACAGATAACGTTATATTTCATACAGGCACGAAAGGCTAGTCACGCAACATTGAAGGACGGATCGGGAGCTGAGAGAGAGAGTGATTAATTCGATTGAAAAAATGTGCGGCCATTTCCTGACAAGCCATCCCGTTCTCAGCTAAATACGCCGCTAATAATTACCATCTACGCTTAGAAATAGCAGCCCGAAACAAAATCATGAACCGGAGTGAGCATTGGATAACGGAGTCTACTAATGCAGCTCCAGCACCCAGAGTGATTCAATTAGGTCCAATTGGAACAATTGGAGCTGTTCTTCCCTCACATGACATACACATGCGCTGTGCGAGGAATGTTTCAACCAGCACCGAGGAAGGACAACCGCCACCATCCTAAGGATGTCCGCTCAGGAAACGGATTCATTCGGACCTAGCGGAGCAAACCACCAAGGACATGGGCCAGTTCGGCCACTGTAGACTGTACACAACCCGTACTTCCGCTCCTACGACAACAAAAGAAGAGCGAGGACATCACCTATTATCAAAACGTAAGCGCCCTCCAATGATAGGGTGGACAGCACACACAAAGACAGCTGTAGTAATCATACAATTATGGCGCTAATTTTGGATCATTAGTAGAAAAATAGGCAACAAAAAGTGAACTTGAAAGCTGAAACCGGTGAAGGTCCGTTTTGATTAAGTATGAACGTGTCGCCATCTACCCGAACTCGACAGCCTTCCTTTAAAGTTTTTACCAAGAAACGAGTCGCATGGGCGGTCTGAAGAGGAGCCCCGACACGGAAGGTTTGCTGTGTGAGTCTTAGATCACATTTAAGAAAAAACCCTGAGAGCCGCTCCGATTCCCGACAATCACTGCGCTTAGACTGGATCGCTAGCCGCCACTGAGAGCCGCGCCATACTCCCAGACACTGAGCAATGAGCAATGAGCATTGCCTCACTATCCGGCAAACAGAGTCCCTACCGGCATAAATAATCCAACACATTGCAACTTACGCCTCACTTACCGTAAATTCCACCCCGCTACAGACATTTAGCGTTAACCGCCCCTTCCCCTAGCATTTACTGCGAGTAGTTTCACTCTGTGATGCTGAATGAGCTCCCACATTCCAAAGCCCTACTCCTCACAAACTGCCACTCCACTTCACTCGATGTGGTCGCACCAAAACCATAACTTTTATCCCGCTACATGACAGTTGCCCATCTCCCTCGACCATCAGCTGCACCGCATATTGAGCGTTCCACCTCACTTCCATCCACCCTCCCCTCCCACCCCCACTCCCAGACATTTAACCCTCCCAGAGCCCACTCCCCGGCACTCACTTCGCATCACGGTGCGCACGGAGCGAACGAGCGAGATGAGCTGCTGTTTGGCGCCAGGCTCCTCGCCGAAACCGCGCAGCTGGTCCTTTCCACCCACTGAGGTGGCATAGAGGGCAGCACGGGCGTCAGAAGGCACCAATTACACAGCCGTAGGCCGTAGGTAAATCTTGGTAGGTACCCAGCTCACAGAGAATGAGATTAACAGTGGGCAGCTAGAAGAAAAGTCAGCCAGTGGTAAAGTACTGAGTCTGACACCAGTTGCTACTGACATCAGATTAGAGTAGACTATGACCTTACATTGCATGCATGATAGTAAAATGAAAAAAGGTTCCAAATAAGTGCAAGCGGCCCTGGTGGCGCATTCGGTTAAGGCGTCGACCCGCGGTGCGGGCGGTGCCGGGTTTCGGGTTCGATTCCCGGTTCCGCCCGTTCCGCGGGCGTCGTCCCCGGCTGCGTCCCCGGCAGGTGTGGGGTAGGCTCCCACTTCAGCCGTAGCCTGGGGGGTGGGGAAGGACGGAGGGAGGAGCTCTCCTCTACTATAATTGGGACATGCGCCCGTTGGAGAGAGGTCCGACTAAAAAGAAAAACATATCAATGATAGTTATTAGGTAGTTGATATATGCCACAGCCATCAGCCTGCTTACATTTTGACAGGAACCTCTCCTCATTCAGAACTGCTATGCCATTGATGACAAGCAGTGAGGCCTCAAACAGGCTATAAAGGCTGAATGTCATTATGAGGGAATGACTGTAAAACCTGAAAAAGAAATAGCACAGGTCAATCAATCTGCTGCACCTCACTAAATCAGATTCAAAACTGGGAAAAAATGTTAAGTTTTATTTGAGACAGAATAATGGAAGTTTTTGCACCTGTTTGCATGTTTACATGTAGGAGAATGATTACTGAGAAAAACCAATGCTTGGCAGTTATTTGACAGATGCTAATTGCTAGCATTGGCATCAGGGCTCGATAAGACCTGACTAGAGAGTCTGCCAGCCTCACTAGCAGCTGGTGATTAGTGCATTTTAATGAGCCAGCCATTGCCATTTTCGTTAGGGTTGCTACATGAGGTATATTCAAAATGACTGAAATCACAAATTGAAAAGCTGCACCAGTACCAATGACAACAAAACATGAGCAGGAATTCTTATTATTTCACTAATGAGCTTTAAGCTTTTACATGGTGGGTGTTGTAAAATGCCCCACTTTGGTTGTCACCTGTTGATAAGTTTTGTTTGCATAAATATTGCATTTAATATTTTGTTTTCAGCCATACTGTTCTACTGTTTAGGTAAGTAGGCATAGTCTAGCAAACCTAAGAAAGAACAGAGTTAAAGCGCCTGAATCACTTTGCACGTTTTTTTAGCACTTGAAATGTATGGCTTGGAGAAATTTGTGTGAAAAGTTGCAAGAGAAAATATGCTCTCACAATATAAATGCACATGCATCAATGACCGAAGCACTTTAAATCCATTCTTTCTTAGGTTTGCCTGACTATAGTAACATTAAGTTAAGGACAGTAGTCTGAGCAGTAATCGCCACTCACTTTGTATGTGGATCGCTCTTAAATATAAATACAAATACATGGCCTTCGGGGAATAAAGTTAGATGGAGTACCATTTTGAAAACAAATGATACTTAACTCTTAAGCATTTGCAAGCAAAGTAATCTTGCTCAATAAACTAACCCATTGCAAAAAACACTGTTTCCATATTTGTTGTCACCTCTTAACCCAACAGCAACAATGCATTGCAATTAAGCCACTTTTGGAATGTAAGACATTTTCACATGTAAAAATGGTATGGGCATTTTAAAACCAGGTGCCAGGGCATTTTGCAAATTTTACAATGCCTCTGTGTGGCGACATCTGGGCCGGGCCCTGTTTCACCGGTGATAGCAGCACGCTGCTTTTACACGTGTCAAATTGGGTTTCCATGGAAACATCAACAGGCCCATTGCTCCAACCGGGCAACACTACCACAAGTGTGATGTCAGCTCGCGCAATTTCATAGCAGCGTGGTAGCAGCGTCCCGTGAAACACCGCCCTGATAAATCAGTAGGCGGAACTATGGTCATGAGTACCCAAATATAGGAACGTTCCCGTTTTTGGGAACGGAGTTCCCAAATATGGGAACGGGCGTTCCCATTTATGAGAACGGAAGGCAATTTTTCCATGGCCGTTCGCCCACTAAAACTCAAAAGTGCATCACGTCTCAAAAAAGTGCACGCTGATTGAAGTATCTACTAAATCTCCATAAAGTTATCTTTAATCTGACCGTGGAACAAGGAAATTGACCGTGGAATGATATTTTTAATTATTTTTTAAAAATGACAAAATGTTGAAAATATGGGTAATACGACATTTAACATGCAATTTTAAGGAAAATGAAGCATTTTTTAGTTTGAGGTTAAGTATAATAATTTTCGCCTGGTTATGAACTTTAATACTATCGACACCAGATGCTGACAAATGCAAGCGAAGACGCGGACGGTCCCGAGGTAATATTGTTGACTTTTGGTGTCGGAGCGGACGACCGCGTGGAACGTGAGTGAATTTACCGAACTACTGTTGTAAACTCAGTTTAAGCGGTTGAAAATTATCCAGCTGTATTTTATCAACCCTGAAAGACATATTTTATTTGGATGCTAGCTGTTAAGCATTGCTTTTAAGGAGCGTCATGAGCGTGGTTTTTGCCTTCGGTATTTTTAAGCACGATCGTTTTGGGGGAATTTCTTTTATGCAGGTCGCCCTGTGTGGCTTATTTATAATTTCTATGCTGATTTTGATCATTTCTCGTGCCCATCCTACCAGGCTTTTTGCCACTTACACTCATTAAGAAAGGAAAAAAGTAGATTTATATTGGGACTAGGTGTTTTGAGAGTGAAACATTTCAGCGTTCCCATTTTTGGATACTTACTTGTGCTCATCAACTATCAGTGTTAAACAGACAGGTGTTTTACATGCCTCCACCCTCGGCGCGTACGGTGTATATAGGTATGGAAGACCTTGTTGAACATCGCTGAGCGTTGTGAATTACGTAATCCTGCAGAGGGGGGCGTGCCCGTTGCGAGATCGACGGGAATAAAAGCGCAGAAGACCGGAGGGCTGTTCACGGACCCTGTGTGCGGTCGGACCGCACACAGCCTCCAAGCTCCGCCCACTGCGTCCCTACGTCAGCCTTGCGTCACCGCACACAGCGACCGCTGTGGCCGGTCGGGACTGGCCACAGCGGACCGTCCACCGCACGCAGCCGTGACGTCAGAGCCGCCTACCCATCCCCTACCCCCACGCCTGCTGGACGTACCGCACACACCGCAAGCAGCAGTGTGCGGTGCCCGTGAACACCCCTCAGGCGAAACATGCGACGGTCTTGCCGGAAAGGTCATCTGATGACTGTTGCGTTAACAATAATTTGCGGCGTTGGACGTGATGCTTGATAATGAAAAGAGCCCCTGAAAGCCGTCGGTGAAATCGTTCCCAATTTTGGGTACGCCGTTCCCATAATAAGGAACGCTTGCAGCGCCAGTGTACGAGAGCGTTCCCAAATTTGGGCTCACGGCCCGTATGATGGACTGCTTTAGAAATAGGGGAACGATTTGAAACTACGATGGGCCTTACAATATCAAACTCTTTCCCAACAATATTGAGACAAATATCAGGCGGTTCACGATCGTTTTATATTTTTTGGACGTCATTTAACGGTTCTTTTTCTTGTTTTAAATAATGCCTACATGGCGTTCCCATATTTGGGTTTATCGTTCCCAAAGATGGGAACGAAAATACGTTCCCGAAAATGGGTACGCTTGACCATAGTTCCGCCTACTGAAATCAGCAAACATGGTACAGTAAGCATGGCATGAATGAAGCATCTCAGATCAGCGACAATAGAACAGTGAATAAATGTTGTTTATATGACAGATATTTATTCAAGAAATTTCATATAAATCATGTAGCCTTCTCAGACTATAAAATCAGCCCAATGCTAATGGCGCCCACCAAACTTCATCAGCATTTTGCTCCCACAGCACCTGCTTCACCTGTAATGTTTATAAGGAAACAATTGCATCATAACTAAGGGCATGGGGGCGTTTTACAAAGTGAATATTAATATACCTACCCTGGTTTTACCTACACGGCTCTCCCCTAATACAAATTATAAATTCGTAATTGATGAGCACCACAATCAAGAGCACAACCAAAATACCTAATCCATGACCAAAGCACAACCAAGGTCAATTATGTTCAATAATTGTTAAAGTGGAAAACAATCGCAGAAGAATCCACACAACGCAGCAGAGATCTCGCACAATGCTAGCAGATAATCACTTCAGAGAACACACTGAGCATTGCAAAATGAATGTAACAGCCACGTCATAAGTGACGACAATGCTGCCATATTTTAGGGGAAATCAGTATCCATTCAGATTTCAGAGGGATTTTTGGAAACGAAAGACGGCGACTGGAAAACATTACCGCCCCCGAAATTCAACAATTATCAGGCAATCAGTGGATAATGATCACTGGCCGGTAGCACTGACCCCTGATCGAAGCCGCTCAATCGACACTTTCCATCCCCTGAAAATTTCATCGGGCAAAACTTACTGAGTGGAACAAGCCGGAAGGCGCCGTCTACGCGGCACGCCCGCGGCCTGACGAATTTCTCAACTTCACCTAAACCGTAAACGGAACCAATAAATGTCAATTGATGCATGACCAGAAAGGATGAATCAATCTCCGCTGCTAGTGAGTGATCACTGGATATCTAGCACGTTTCAGCAACATCCAAATACGCAATGACCGCTGTTTTAGAGTCCTAGATTTTATACAAACCTGATCATGCAAACATGTCGTAGCCTTGCTCCAGCTCATCTGAATTCTTGGGCGGTCGTCAGTCAAACGCATTTCGGCGTCGGTTACATGGCTACAGTTGTTATTCTCCGGGCGAGTTCCATGAAATGTCCAGTGATGGTGCATCGCTTGCTGCTCGGTAGTCGGACGAAGAGCCGGTTTTATCCAGTCATGACGCACTGGCTGCCGCCGGCCTGAGGCGTCTCCGACTCGGCGGCTGCGGCGGCGGCGGTGCGGGCGTCAGAGTCACTCCAGCGGTGTCGTTGGGACTGGAAGCTGCTCCGACGGACGGCTGCGGCGGCCACGTGACCCGAAGCTGGAGCAATCACCAACCGAGGCAGCAGGTTACAGCGAGGAACCGGGTCTGACAGCCAGTACCCACTGATGAAGATGAGGCGTCCCACTAAGCAGCGAGCTCGCCAATGGGAGGCCACTTCCCTGCTGCTGTGGCTCCTGCTGCTACCAGCCGCCGCCACGGTGACCGGCTGCGCGGACCCCTCCTGCCGTCCGCTGGTAACCACTCGGGAGGGCACGGTGCGTGGCACGGTCGGCCAAAGCGCCGACGGACGGCCGTACCTGGCGTTCCGTGGGGTGCGGTACGGCGCCCCGCCGGTGGGTGCGCTGCGGTTTCAGCCGCCGCTCCGGCACCCAGGCTGGCAGGGCGTGGTCGAGGCAGACCGCCACGGCACCCACTGCCTCCAGGTGGACTCTATGGACGGAGACACCATCAAGGGCGCCGAGGACTGCCTGTTTGCCAACGTGTACTCGCCGCGTCTCCCGGATCCGTCCCGACCCGCCACCGCCGGTCTGCCGGTCATGGTATTCATCCATGGAGGAGGATTCACGATCGGCAGTGGAGATGACGAGTTCTACGGACCGAGCTACTTTATGGACGAGGACGTGGTGCTGGTGACGTTCAACTACCGACTCGGACCGTTCGGTTTCTTCACGACGCATGACGCGGCAGCTCCTGGAAACTACGGCCTGCTGGACCAGGTGCTGCTGCTCCACTGGGTGCAGGACAACATCGCCGCGTTCGGCGGCGACCCGCGCGCGGTGACCATCTTCGGCGTGTCGGCCGGCGGAGCCAGCGTGTCGCTACTGGTCCTCAGTCCTCTGGCCCGTGGCTTGTTCCACCGGGCTATCAGCCAGTCTGGCACGTCGGTGGCCAGTTTTGCGGCCAGCGGACGACGCAAGGACGCCGCGCAGACGCTGGCCGCTCGGCTCGGCTGTCCGACCGGCGACTCGGCTGCACTGGTCGGCTGTGTGCGCGCCGCTCCCGCAGAGGCCGTGGTGCGGTCTGTGAGAGGTGAGAAGGAGCTCTTCCAGCCGCGCATGGACGGCGCAGACTCACGGCAGCCGCTGCTGCCCGACGACCCGCGTCGGCTGCTCGAGCGAGGCGCCTTCAATCGGGTACCCTGGATAAGCGGTATCACGGCAGAGGAAGGTGCCTTCTTTCTACCCTTCACTGTCGCCAACACTACACTAATGGCCGGCGTGTTCGCAGGCCAGCCGGCCGCCTGGGCGCGGCTGGCCGACCTCTGCGACGACTCACGGTACCGAGTGCTCGACTGCGGCTACTCGGTCGAAGGACAGGGGGCCAGAGTGCGCCAGTTCTACGTCTCATCCCCGGCCGGAGGCGGCGGGGTGCCGGGACCAAATAACCTTCTGCCGGTGGTGCGAGTCCTCTCGGACCGTCTGTTCGTGGCGCCGATGGTGGCAGAGACGCGACTAGCCTCCCGCTTCACGACCGTGTACCGGTATCTACTCGACGAGCGAGGCGCGGGTCGGCTCACCTACCGACGGAGGCATCCCGCACCGGTGGCGGTACCTGACTTCGGGCCGACCCACGCAGACGATGTGCTGTACCTGTTCAGTAACTCTCAGCTACCCACATCCCCACGCAACACACCGTCCGGTCACCTCATCCGTCTAATAGTCAGCACATGGGTGACGTTCGCACGCACGGGTCGACCCGCCGCTCCAGGGCTGCCTGATTGGCCGGCGTTTACGGAGCTCACACAGCAGCACATGCGTCTGAACACGGCTCCTTCAGTCGACCAGCGGCTGTTCGAGGCTCGGGCCGACTTTTGGCAGACGGTGCCCATCAATGAGCCGTGGAGGCATGTTGTGCAGATGTCCTGTCGGTTGGGAGGAGCCGCCTCCGGCCAGCCCGGCACGGCGACGGGCTTCTAGGAACAGCAGTGACAAGCGTGACAGAACGATCGAATATTGGTGCTACGTGAGAGAAATATTATTGACAGGTCAGGTGCTGATTAACACGTTTTATACACCGCTTTACCAGACTCACAGCAGGCGATGCATATGTTGTAGTGTAGCATGAACACTTGGAATAAACATTTTTATGCTCATTTAACTATCTATGTAAGTACATATTTCCCCTGGAATGTGAATTGGTCCCGCAAGTGAAACGCATCAGCCACCGAGGTAAACCACGTTTTATTTCAAGCAGATTTAAACAGCAATCCACACAAAGAGCATGCCAATCGAGCAGCAGCCCTTGCGCTTACCGTTTACAATCGGCACAGCTCCCGAGCGAACCGGAAATGAAAGCCCCTCCTCACCCAGCAAATAACCCAGTCCAAAGCCCGATTACATGGGATAACATAACAAAGTAACAACACTGGGCGTTTGATCATAAACAATGCATCTGTCTTCTGAAGTTCTGACTCTGTCGCAATTTTAACGAGCTGTGACTACTCGTGGCATATGGCCTCTGTGTTAAAGTAGCCCGGACACACGCTCCAGCAACCAATTTTCTCCTTGCAGCGCCCGGTCACACCCAATACGAACACCACGCAACGCAAACAATGCACATCCAGATAGTCAGGGGAAGGAGGCCCAATTTTGGGCCGAATAACGCAAAATTGGGTAGAGCTTAGCAAAGGGTGGTTTCTGGGACAAAAATGACCGCTGAACCCGAATCTGACCGGTGCGCACCTCCAACTGATGTTGCACCACTTCCAGAGCACGTGCAACTGCGTGGTTCTTCTTTTTTGAAGAATGGTACCCTTTTTATATATTTTAAAATAAAATAAGTCGTGTAGTTGTTGACGTCATCGGTTGCCCGAACATTGCAAAACTTCAGCTTTCAATTACGCCATGTGTTTTTAGCACAGGGACAAAATCTCAAAACAATATCTCAAATATCAACGACGTTACACTGCAATTCATTAAAAAGGTACCATTCTCCAAAAAAGATGAGCCACGCAGTTGCACGTGCTCTGGAAGTGGTGCAACATTAGTTAGAGGTGCGCACCGGTCAGATTCGGGTTCAGCGGTCATTTTTGTCCCAGAAACCACCCTTTGCTAAGCTCTACCCAATTTTGCGTTATTCGGCCCAAAATTGGGCCTCCTTCCCCTGACTAAGACTGTCGGAGCGACGCAGGTATCGCTCATAGCAACAGCGCCACCCGTTTATCGCGCTGCATAAGCGAAGGAACCATCCTACGGTCGTAAAAGCAGTAGAAAACTAGCGCGGTTCCTAACGGTTCGACTGAATTTGCACACACGATATAAAAGAAACCCTGCCAGTTCACGCACAGTTGAATACTCACGAGGATATAGTGATTAACTGGGTGGGAGGCACGACAAACGGCAGACGCTATGACCCGCTGCTCCCGGCCATGACAGTCGAGCTTACCGATACATTCACGAAGCCCCAGTACATACGACACGCTATCCAGGACAAAACCCACACACACCTGCCCGTTTACGCTTGGCCGCTGGCATTATCGGTCGGCTGTACTACCCATCATGTCGGGTTACCAGCCAGTCCCAGTCGTCTGTCTCAGTCGCGATCCCACGACTGAGTCAGTCGCCAATCCATAACCAAGTTCAAAGCTCCGGCAGTGACTGAATGTAATCCACCTCACTCTAGGTCGCGTGTCACCAGCCCTGTCCGGCCTTGACAGCGAAGTCGCTCGTGGCAGCGGAGTTGCATAATCCACTGATTCGCTGCCTGTTCACTGCCACATGCAGCCACATCAGAAGAGACCCGGATGCGGTTCGATACCAAAGCCTCCAGAGAGGAGGCCTGTCGGGCACCCGGTCACGATACTAGGAACTCGGCACCAGGGTTGCTCACGAGGACAAGAGCAATGGAGGTGACAGCCTTTGGCGACCACACCAGCGGATAGGGGACTCGTATAGTCGGAGACAGCGATACAGGCACAGAGTTGTAAGGCAAGACGGAGCGACGAGACGACACAAACAGATTGCGACACCGAGCGAGTTAGCGCGGGTCGAGCGACGTGTCATAGACGGAACACTGACCGCGACGAGGTCGGTCCTTTGGTACTGGATCCCGGCACCTCCCCAAACCTCCGAACACAACTCTGTCTTCAAGGATCACGAAGCTGGAGTAGTGTGATCATGGCACACCGTTATTGAAGGGTGTGGTGTCGAGCGGCTTCAATGTACGTTGTACTGACGCATCGTGTCCTCCATTTTGCTCTTCATCCACTGAAAAACGAGAGGTTTTTATTAGGGCGATCAGAACCCAATATGGTTTTTATTAGCTAATAGTTTCGTCACGGTAGGTAGGACATGCAAGAATAGGGGAGAGTGGGGCACATTCGTGCATGGGGCACATTCGTTTTCAGCAGTTTATGGGAACACGAGTGACTGCACGAGCTCAAGGTAAATTATGGAAATATGTCTATCATTGCCGCCCTTCGTTCACCGTAGAAGACAACACTGTACCTGCTGTCATGCTTGATAAAAACGCAAATTTGTAATATTCGTGAGCTTTCCAAACTTTTCTCTTATCATCCATTTTCGTGATCCTGACTCGGAAATGTGGTTCAGCTTTTCAAAATTGGGGGTGAAGAAGCCCACTCTATTCACGGAACTGCTGCAAACTTGTTTGTTGAAAAAGTGTCATTTTTTCAAAAAGAAATTTTGAAATATATTACTAATAACGTTGTGGGGCAGGTTCGTGTACGCACTGCCTGGGGGCACATTCGTGCATATTTTTTTAGTTTTTGCGATTTATGACTTTATCTGTAGTAGGTTTCTCTAATGACGCTCGCCTGACTCAGTCTCGACTGCTTGCGACGTCGTGACGAGCAATTCACGCGAACTTGGCGAGGTCACGGAGGCCGGCAGTTGGCACATTCTTGTTGGCCAGCCCATTCTTTCTACATTTGTTGTGCAATGCATTCTTGTCGAAAGGAATCAAGTGAAATGACCCCCTGCCAATTTCCTTTGGTAAATTTCTGGTAATGCCCGGTAATTTCTCGAATTTTGCCGGGTGAACGGAAGTGCCCCATCTCTTGAACGAATGTGCCCCATAGGTGGGGCAGTTTCGTGCAAATGTTCAGAGTTAATAAAAGTCATTTTTTCTAATGGAAGCAATAATTTTATAGGATAACTTAGAGGGAAACTATCTGCAATAGTTCCTTTCCATACTACAATCAACAATTTTGCCATTGCACTAACCAAAGAACAGATATATGGGGTTATCCATTTTTTGCACGAATGTGCCCCACTCTCCCCTACCCTTAGAGTAAGGTTGAACCAAAGTTGTGAAACAATTCGATTCGTCATACATAGGAATCATGTTTAACGATACGACCACAAACAACACATACAGACCGACCGACCGACATACAGGCGGACAAACACACACACTGTTCGAGTGTGAGTGTGCAACCCTGAGTGCTAAGCCAACGTAAGAGCGACACCCCAGTCGGCTCACCTGCGCGCTGGCCTGATCGGTGATGGGCACCACTTTGACGCCATCCGAGCCGCTGAACAGCGAGAAGCCCCGCTTGGAGGACGGCACACCCAGCTCCAGACCCTTACTGGTGACCTTGGGCGGGCCGGTCAGCTCCTTCCACATAAACGTCCACTCCACCTGCGGGCGGGGAAACAATAACCACCGTCCACTCCACAGTCCGAATGGTGAGCACATGACTAATGGAACATCCAACAAATATCAAAAAAGTGAATATAAATAAACAACAAAAAACAAACAAATATTAGCGAGCAAATGACTTCTCAAGCCCCAAGGCTCACTAAATATATTCCTGCCCGGGGCCGGGATGATTCAATAAATGTCACCGAGGTTTTTTAGCGAAAACTCCGAGGGCCGTTAGGCCCCAGGTGATTTTGCTAAAAAAGCGAGGTGACATTTATTGAATTCCCGGCCTTAGGGCTGGAAGGTGTTTCCCATACCTGCCAAAAAGCTCACAACTATAATTGATAGTGACGTCAGCAGCCGTGTGGTTCAACGCGTTTAACCACACCCCTTGAACCACACGGCTGGCAATATTAAAGCACTGCATTAAACTTTGAAAAGTGTGGTACAGTGCACGTGCCATTAAAATGCCTGGATGTCTCGATTTAATCATGCAATGTAGCAGGTATGGGAAAACTAAAAACTGAATGACACGCGTGGGTAGGACGCACCTGCCAGTTGCCGAAGATCTCGTTTCTGGTGAGCAGCAGCACACGCCGGTCTGTCAGCAGGAACACCAGCCGCCGGTCCGGTCGGCAGATGGCGTGGGCCACGTACGTGTCCGTGGAGGCGTACCGGCCCTTCTCCAACTCCTGTGGGGTAGGGCGGGACAGGGCCAGGGGTCAGCTGACTCTGTGTGAATATCACAGCCGTGGTAGGATAACCAGGACAGGAACAAAGACGAGGGAGAGTAGATGGGAGAAATGTGAAGAGGCTGGTCAGCTTGTGAATGGTTACGAATGGAAAAGTGCGTCTCTCTCTCCCTCCCTCCCTCCCTCCCTCCCTCCCTCCCTCTCTCTCTCTCTCTCCCTCTATCCCTCCCTCCCTCTCTCTCTCTCTCTCTCTCTCTCTCTCTCTCTCTCTCTCTCTCTCTCTCTCTCTCCCTCCCTCTCTCCCACTCACCAGCAGCGTTTTGGCTCCTTCCGCCTCGTGTCGGACGTAGGGCCGGATGATGCGGTCAGCCTGGAAGTGCCGCGCCGGCCTCAGTCGAGTCACCTCGTCTTGGTCCATGGTCCTGGGACGGTCGGCGGACACACCGGTCAGCGGGGCAGGTCACAATGGGGTCACTGAACACTGTACAGCTCTAGCGGACCATCGTTGGTAATATTGGTCCAAACTACCAGCATTCAGTTTTACAATGTGCAATTTGAAAGATTTATCACTTTATCGGATCATTAATCTAATAGGTAGATATGTTGCAAATACTAAAACTAGTGAGAAATGTACATGGTTCATGAGCATAATCACAACATGACAATAAACAAGGGGCACACATACGCGCGCTTACAATGACAGCATACCTCTGCCACCATTAGATGCAACGAATCACACCCTTCCACAATGTGATCGCTCCGACACGGCAGTTTCCACAACAGTCCACACGACTAAGAACACACCAGCCACCGGTACCGACTTCAAACATCATGCTCCTAACTCCCTGTCACTGTCAAAAGACCCGTCCACATGCACACCATCACCTTCTCTGCAAACGGAATCTGCAAACGGTTATAACTGCAAACGCATTCGGACGGGCGTGTGGTCAAAACCGGGGGATTCCTTCGCCGAACGGATAATGTTCGAACAAATAGTCGTGTGTGGTTTCAGAGTTTGTCTTTGCATAATTGTTATAGAAGTATCAATGTGTAGAACCTCAGGGGAGTCCTGAGCCCGACACGAACAATCCAAACATCAGATTCGACGCCAGTCACCAGAACTAGGGGGGGGGGGGCTACCTCCACCGAGGGGCGTGGGGTCACGCGGCAGTGAGCAGTATCTACCCGTCTCGGTACGGACACGGTCCCGAGTGAACCGAGTGACAACTATCCGCATGGAGCCCGTCGGCCCACCTGCAACACGGCACACACCGGCCGGGACGGTGCCGGGAGAACGTCAGTCACCGGGCCGCGTCACACGTCATAACATCACCCAGCCCGCATCACAACGTCACCCGACCCGCATCACAGCGTCACACGACCCGCATCACAACGTAACCCGGCTCGCATCACGTCACCCGATTCGCATCACAACATCACAACGTCACCCGACCCGCATCATAGCGTCACAGGGTAGCTTCGGTCACCCGGCACAACCCCAACACACCGGGACTGGAAACACGGGAGGTGCAGAGCTCTATTCTATAGGATAATAGAGGAACGGGGGAGGTTAGGAGTAGATAATGCACGATGCAGCTACAAAAACGGCGGCACACACAAACTCCGAACAATGACCTGTTTATCTTTTTAACAAACTTAAGATCCGTCTGCTTTCGCCAGCTGAAATAGAGACACAAGCGCGATATGCTGAGTTATCGGTGCAATGAGCCTGACATGGAAACCGGCGGAAGAAAATAACAACGGTTATCCATGGCAGCCGGGAGTCCGCAACAGGGAACGTTCTCGGCAGTCAAACAGAGTTTCATGTTTAACATCATTTTGAGGGTATGGCTGATCATACAACGCATAGTAACACTCCATCTCACAAAGAAGTTTCAAAACAATACACATATAGATCAACCAGTCTCCCCGGACAATAATTAGGCCTCCCGACCCGATAAATCACCTGCCACCTGACCAAACGCTATCTATCCCTCCCCCTCCCTAGTCTCCACTCTCTATCACCCGATCCTCACCGTTTGACGGCATCGAAGGAGCCACTGGCAAAGTCCACCACGCCCGACGTGGGCCGGGTGAACAGGCCCACCATGCCCTTGCCCATGCCCTTGACGAAGCCGAGGGCGCCCTCCTCCTGAGCGCCCTCGATCGGTTTTCTCACGACGCCAGTCACACCGTCCACCACGCCCTGTGAGCGATACGGGCGGCACATCAGTGGAGCATTAATGACGGGACAGGCGCCAGTAATGGGAGCCCAGAACCCTCGTAGGGACGGAGCTAGAGAGCACTGGACAGACAAAATATTGAAGAACAGAGGAGACTGATTGGGCTCACGCAGCGGCCCAGAGCAACGTAAGAAAAGTCGGTCAAAACACCTGGAATACTGTAGCGAAGTCCCATTACGGGTAGAGTCAAACCCTGCTCGTCACAGACTCTCTGGAGTCTGGACCCGCAGAGATACTGTTCGGGCACCCACCATGAAGAGGCCGCGGCCGCTCTGGGCGATGCCGCTGGTGAAGTCGGCCGGCCGGCGGTTCATCGCCTCCCTCCTCTTCTGCTGGTACTCCTGGTCCAGCGTCAGAGCGGCGATACCCTTACCTGGAGATCGGGAAAGATCATAGACACGTTAGGAACCGGAGGCTGCCATACGGAAAAGGGAGGGAGAGGGAAACGTAAGGACCCGATGAAAAGTGACATGAGTGGGAGGGTCGTAGAGAATGCATAACAATGAACATGAAAACATAGTACGCGAGTGAAGCGTTGTAAGTTCAAGTTCAAGTTCGGTGTATTGAGGACATTTCCACATAGTGGCTTAATATTTAGTCCGAGTCAGAGTACATGGATAAAAACATGACACAGTCAATATCACAGTAAATCACAATCAAGAGATGGGTATATAAAAACACGGTCCAAAGTCGGACAAACCAGACCCTCGACTAGTTCGACAGCCGGCGCAGAAACTCGGCGCGGGTTACAGAGCTGGTGACAGCCGGCGACAGGCGGTTCCACGCCGCGGCCGCTCGGTAAGAAAACGCGCGGCGCGACGCGGACAGGCGGTATGGAGGCAGCTCGAGAGCGCCCGCCTCAGTCGACCGGGTGCTGCGCCGGGAAACCGCTGTACGAGGGACGAACAGGGAGCGGATCGCCGCGGGAGCGTGCGGGTCCCTCAGCGCCCTGTAGACGCCGAGGCAGTCACGGCGCTCAACCAGCTCGCGCACGTCACACCAGCCCAGTTGATGTTGTTGATTTATGTAAGTTGATGATTTACACCTGCCCTCGGCAGTATAGCACTTTTTACCGGCAGATCAGTCCAGACTACATTACCTAACCTACACTATTCATCCTCATCTAGCCTCCCCCAGCTACGTCCGGCCCACGGCGCCAACCCAGCGCCACCCCCACGACGTCTGAGCCACTGCGCTATCCAGTACCCACCCAGCGTGCCGGTGATGCGGGACACTGCTCCGGCCGTGCCGCCCACCGCGTGACTGAACAGACTTGTCACGCCCAGCGCCAGACCCTCGGCGAACTCGCCCGGGCCCTGGATCGCACCCTGGAACACGGCAGATACAGTGGGTTATAGGAGATTCTGAACCTCCCAGAAGGAAATAACAGATACGATGGGTTGCGAGGACTCGCGGCTATCCCTCGGAGCATGACAGGATGCGGAAGATAGTTAAAGGCCATGACGACTTCCAAAAACACACAGGAAATAAGACGAGCTTGCGGGAGACGACCAGGTGAGGCACAGCACCGTCGTTTGTATTGCTTTAAAATTTACGGTCACCATTAAACTCGTCATGAGTCATATTGCGAGGAAATAGCGATCAAGCTCAGAGGGTTACAGACCAGTCAGCCACAGGTCCAAGTTCACAACCCTCCAGCCTGCCATTCTTCCCATTTACTCCGACGGCTCACCTGAACTGGCTCGTAGAACAGGTCTGAAACTCCGTCTGTCAGTCCGACCACCAGCCCGAACGGGTTTCCGATCACGTCGAGCCCCAGCACCAGAACGTAGAGCTGCTTGACGGCCTGGCCCGTGTAGTGGGCCGTCACCTCGGAGGTTAGCTCCGTCTGAGACAGGAACTGGTGCTCGCGCTGGAAGTACGCCAGTCTGGGGATGGAGAGAGTGGCGGCCAGACCCGGGTCAGCTAACGGCACCGCAGGGTTTCAGGGCAGAGCATGGTACCGTCAAGGTAAGGCCGGAAAGGACAGGAATCAGTGGACAGGGCAAAAAAGGAGGGAGAGCGCGGCTAGATACATAACGGCTAGCTACTGCTAGGCACCAGTCTACAGATGGGTTGGTAGAGACAAATAGGTATGCATGAAAAAATCCAATTCTGACACTATGCTCACCCATGAACAACATAAGAAATAAATGAACGCCCAGTTGAAAATTTTATCAGAAGCCTCACTTGAACACAACGTCCTGAATATCTGGCAGTGTGACGCCCACACTGTAAACGCCCACCCACACTCTGTAGGCGCCCACCCTCACTCACTTGAACACGACGTCCTGTATCTCGGTCAGTGTGACGCCCACACTCTGAAGAAGCAGCTGGACGAAGCCGGAGGCGATCGGCGGGCCGCCCGACGAGTTGCCGCTGCCGCCGCCGCCGCCGGCTCCCGTCATCGAAAAACTCACGTGAATCTGAGGGAAAACAGCCGGGAAGGGAAGAGAGTTAACAGGTAGCTTGGCCGAAACCGGTATCAAACAAGTTATACAACGCTTCTACAACTACCTAAACGGGGAAAATTAGCCAAATAAGGAGACAGTTACACATATAAAATAGGCCGTTTCACCGTTTCTACGACCTCTATCGCATTCCCTACTACCATAATCATCCCCCTAGATCAGCAGACCACACTGCCGAGCTCACCTTGAGCGGAGAGAAGTGCAGGAAGTCGAAGAAGTTCCTCTGCTCCTGGAGGCTTCGGATGGCCACCTTTTTCTCCAGTTCCTCCCTCGCCAGCTCCAGATCACTCTCGACCAGCTCCTTCTGCGGGACGGTAAGGGGAGAACTCCCGTTGTCAGAAGCCGCGGGATACCTCAAATGGAACGGGGACCGCACAGACAGCGTATTTCCGCTAGGTGATGAGTAGTCGACGTGGTCCTTTACGAAAAGAGACGTGACAAATTGCCACGTCCCCAGTTATTCAACAAGAAAGCTGCCTTTTCACACCGCAAATCGATATAATCCTAATGTTTTGACATAGCAACGAGCCACAGTTATAAGTGATATCACAATGCCCACAAACGTATCCGTTTTAGCAATTTATATGAAACCCAGCGTTCCCATCAACGTCATCTCTATACACTCACTCCACCCTGCCGCCCGAAATCCTACCGTGTTCCGGTTCAGCTTGTCCACGCTGAAGACGTCCACCAGCGCGGCGATGAAGCCCTGGTCCAGCTTGACGTGGAACTCCTGGATCAGCATCTTGCAGTACTTGTACTGCCGGACCATGGTGTGTTCGGCCAGTCTCTCAACCACGGACATCTCCACAAACGCCTTCGGAACTGTGAACCGGCGCGGGGTGTCAATGAAACAGGTAGAGCTCAACTTGTGGGCAAGAAATCGAGAGACGGCTTGGGCTGTAGTACGCAGAGCTCATAACTCGTATACTTTCCCAGAAAATACTTAAAAAGCTATAGGATTATCTAACGGCCACATAGCTCACTGTAGAGTCTGCAGCAGCCTTCAAAAACCACCTTTGGTTTCGCTCGACATATAATATCCACCAGTGCAGGGTGTAGTCGCTCCAGAGCCCCCTCCCTCCCCCCGTCATCCCCTGAGCCAGCCTCAAACACCACTATCTCACCACATAACCTCCCCGCTGCCAACTAACCACTATCCGCAGCGATGGACTTGGGCGGCGGCACGGGCGCCAGTACCACGGGGAAGACCGAGTCGCGCAGCTGGTTATCCAGTTGGAGCCGGTTCAGCTTGGCGTGGAACTGGCGCTGGTGGGCGCTGGTGCGCAGCTGGAGCCACACGCCGCTCTGGAACGTGCGTCGCAGGTAGCGCCGGTTCGGCTGCAGTAGCTGCATCGACGCAAAGTCCACCTGACGATGGGGGGGGGGGGGGGGGTGAGATAAAAGGGCGGGAAGGGCCGAACCTCTGGGAAGTGAAACATGACCGAATGGGAGATATGCATGAATTCATCGACACAGCGACACAAAACAACCTGGACAGTGAGAAAGGGACCACCGGGAGAGTGAAAAAGGAACACAGGGTCAATAGACAGGACACTGAGGCAGTGGGACGGGAAACCGGGACAGTTGTCACTGTCATCTGTCACTGTCAGGTAGGACGCGGGACTAGTAACAAAAGACCGAAGTGGGAGACAGGCGAGGTCGCCGAGCAGTGGCAAAAACGACGGAAAAGAGACAGGATTGCGGGGACAGAGACAGAAACGTCGGGGCATTAGCTCGCCAGGACAGTAAGACATGATCGCTGGAGCAGTAAGGCCAGACCGACAAGAAGAAAGCCAGACCAACAACATCCCCTCACTGTACGTACCTCCATTTTGTTATCGAGGACCTGTCGGGTGGGCGCGGTGGCTCCCACCATCCGCTGGTTCTCGTATGTCTGGTGAGCGCGCTCCAGCAGGGCGCACTGTAGACTGGTCATGGCACGGAACCGCTTACCGTGCGCCTTCTGGGTCTCCCAGACCACGCCCGAACTGTGGGGATAAGGACGTAATTGCACACGGCTGAACAAATATGTCAACGCAGAGATAAAGGCAATTGTATGTGCCACAGGCGCTCTGTGCGGGAATAGCAAAGTAAAGAATTGAGAGAACAGTATAAAACGATAGGGACCATTTAGCTACATAAAACATGGCTGTTGGGCTTATTATTTTCTTTGAACATTGGAAAGTAATAAAGCACAACACCGCAGGGCTCCGACCGGCTCCCTATCAAGCCATGTGCGCCACATGTCTGACCTGGTGATGCCGAGGTACATGACGTCCGTCTGGGTGATGTTGTTCACCAGAGACAGGCCGACGCCCTCGATCTCCACCGTAATCTCCTGGTCTATCCGCTCCAGCTCCACTGGAAAACATCGTGCGTTTAGAGTCAACGCAGGGAAATCAGTGTATATGACCACGTCACAGCAGCTGAGCGCGCACGAAGAACTGTCAAATGACATGGCAGGCATGACAGTATCCACATGAATCCATACTCTGCACTCGAAGCCGGCCATAAAAACATCATATCGTCAGCTATCTGTCAGAAACATTATTAACGCATATGACCAAAATCGTGACCGCGTCTTATGATAAAGCATATTCAAGCTCTATAAGAAACAGCCAACGCGGTCGGACACCTGATTAGCACTACAGCCTGCAGCGTTACGTACCTGCATTGTGTGCCTGCGTGGCCACGGCCAGGTCCGCAGTAAACATCAGTGTCCGCTGCATGCCGTCCAGGAAGCTGACCCAGTACAGCGGAGTGCCGTCCTTGCCCTCAAACTCCTCGATACCGTCCTATCGGGCGACGGGCAGGGGATAAATGTGAACGCTCAAAAACCACAAAGACGACAACAGCTAGATGGTCAATGTGTACCTATGGTAATACATTGGGCAATGAAACATGTGATAGACTGTTTATTTGTCACTAGCTTTAAATGAAGAGTTCAGGACTGCGCCATGCGTTAATGGTTTATCATCTGAACACACATTCGTTGACTCTGCTAGCATGACAAGTTTCATTGAGTAAGTAAATGAGTAGCCTTTTGGCCGTCCGCAGTTCGCGCCCGACAGCTGCTGTGACGTGTGACTGACCTTGACCAGCGGGTCTATCCGGCCCTTGACCTTTCCGCAGCTCCAGGAGAGGGTACGCTCGCTGGTAGGACGTTCCCAGGTGTAGAGGCGAACTTCGCCCGGCTTCAGCACACTGGTAAAACCATACAGAGAACGGGTGTCAGAACAAACTAGGGAGACAAAACAGGCTGTCAGCAGAACACACGTGAGAAAAGGCGTCCGAGAGCATATATCACGGATTGACACCGTCCCGGCCTGACCAGGCAGGTCGCCGATGGGGCGCACAGCAATGTTCTATGCTTATTTCTGCTTGTGTTTTTATGTGAATTATGTTAATAAAACTGTATAAACTTCAAAAAAAAGTAGGCGTCCGAGCACAGGGACAACTGGCTAGGAGTCAGTGCATTAGAATGTTTATTATTTGCATAGCGTAACAATACTACGCAAGATCTTTTTTTGCGTACGTTGACGGAAAGTTCGTCCTGAGCGGCCTATGCGTTTTATGATGTTTTATGTTCAGCGTCCTAAGCGTATATATCCTTAACAAATTCAATAAGCCCACAGGCAACGAGCCGACGGACGAAAGACGGGACGTGGTTGACGTGGCCGTATACAGGGTCTTTCACAATGAATCTTATTTTTAAAACGAGAAGTTGAAGGTGTTAGTAAATAATAAAAGCATTAATTTTGTATTTACCTTATTGCAAATTTCTTGGAATTTCTGTTGATGTAATCAAAATTGCCACATCTCACCAAACTTCCCTTTTGTGCGGACATGAAATGCCTCCCCTACAACACGGGTCTGCTCTTTTTTCACGTAGGCGTTTTGGGTGGTCGTGGGAAACGGCTCACTGAAGCGCACGACTGTCCACCGTAAGATTCGGGGACACTTTTAAAAAGAAGCACAATGTCCGTCTAAAATGATCACAGGCTTGTGAACAGATTCCAGAATGTCACGGTTGACTGCAAGGAACAAAACGCACGAAAGGTCATGTTTTGGGCTGCCGTGGTCGACGGGCGTTTCTTCGTCCACTGGTTTGCTTCTGGCTTATCAGTGACCGGGCCAGCTTATCTGAGGCTGCTCAGTGCTCAAGAAAAAATTCTGGCCTCATGTGCCTGGCGGGGTTCAAATACAAGGCCGCGGGATTCAGCAGGACGGCGCTGAAGTGACACAACGGCGGCTGGGCGCCAGTGGTTGGATGGCAACTTTGACAGACGAGTGATCAGCCATCTCACTGAGCGACCATGGCCAGCTTGGAGCCCTGATCTCTCGCCGATGGACTCCTGATTTTGGGCAGTCGTCTTGGAGGCCCCAAGCAGAGACCCTTCCTGTGACCCTCATAGAGCTACAGGTCACAGTGGAGAGGTTTGCTGCAATGCTGTGCGCGGAGGATGTGAAGCGCGTGGTGCACCATTTGCGTCAGCGGGCCGAAATCTGTGTCCGAAAGCGAGGCGACACAGTTAAAAATCGATGAAGGGTACCTAAATGCGAGTCATGTGATTATAATTTCCTATGATTTGTTATTTCATTCGGGTATTGACAATAACTTTGTGATGTATATCACCTGAGCTATGGCTATTTTAAAAATAACATTCATTATGAAAGACCCTGTACGTATTATCAGACAGCCGAATGGCCTTTCTAGGCAACATGCAGTGGAACGTATAGCGGTTGACTGAGGCCAAACAGCACGCCCAGTAGACAATAATCTTTCTCCCACGTGTCGAACTAAGCAGGACACCAAAGTGTTTTGGGCAAACTACACGAACACACGACATCCAAACACCTCGTTTTTCTGCAAGTCGCGCTGGAACAAACATTAGATCGCTGAAACACCAAACAGCTCTGAAATGACGGAGACGAGCCATCGGCGACATCCCAGGGCGAGTCAGACAATCAAAGCTAAATAAAACACAGATGACCGACTACGACCAGACACACGACTTCCACCGACAACTACCGCAAACATGACTCCGATACCAGCCCTCGACAACATTACGACTGACGAACATGAAGTACTTCAAATACTTAACTCTCTAGACACCAACAAATCTACCGGACCAGACGGCCTTCCCGTAAAGTTCTTACCAGTAAAACGCCTTTTGGGCGAAGAACGAGCGAGCGAGATGGTGAGCCCTGCACGTGCGGAAGGGCGAGAGGGTACTTCCAACGGGCTTGCGCAAAGCACCCTTCTAACCGGTCGCTAACGGTGTACCAAATTTGAACGCAATCGGCCCAGCCGTTCCTGAGATCTGGAAGCGGCATTCTGCACGTGCGCACGTGCAAACGGGTCCAAACTGACTTTTGCACGGCACCCTACTAACTGGTCCCCAACCGTGTACCAAATTTGAGCGCAATCGGCCCAGCCGTTCTCGAGATCTGGGAGCGCCCCCTGCACGTGCGCACGTGCAGTAGCACCTTAACCGCAACACATGGGAATGCATTGCCTGGTGGGTGCCTACCTGTATGCCAAGTTTCAGCGAAATCGCCCCAGTAATTACCGAGTTATTAAAATGGGAACAAATTTGACACCTCTTATTGTTGTATTTTGCACGTGCAGTGGGGGTCACTCACATAGATCAAGAGTGGCCGACCATTGGTAGAAGGGATGCAGCTACCCTACAAAAATTACCGCAAGACAATCGCCCAAGCGGCTGCTGAGATATGGGCCTCTCAAAATCACTACTTTTGCAAAACAGCTTGAACACCCTTGACATTTCACGTGGCACGTGTCACGACGGTCACTGAGATGTATCAAAAGTAGTCAATTACGGGGTAGAAGGGATGGGGCTACCCAACAAAAAAGACCGCAGGCCAATCGGTACAGCGGTTGCTGAGATATGAGCCTCTCAAAAGCGTTACAGGCCGGGCCGGGCCGGGCCGGGCCACTGAGATTTTTCCGTTATATTGAAAAGACTTCGCTTCGCTCGCTGCGCTCACTCGCTCGTAACAAACATGGCAACCTGGAGCTGAATGTGTAGACTCTGTATGTTCAGAAAGCTGAGATTGGTGTGAAACGATCACATGGACGGACCGGAGCGATGGGAGACACGACAGCCGACATACTGGACGGTACGCGAACTGCAGCGAAGGCGGACTGGACGTCACGCAGACTGGACCCGGACAGACTGGACTCTCACAGACGCCCATCTCGGCCCCGGCCGGCCCCGCGGGCACCTGCTGTCGGGAGGCGGCGCGTTCTCTCGCAGCGTCTGCCCCACCCGCTGCATTTCGCTGGCGATCAGCGCGCCGGGGGTGATTCGCGGCGGCTCTCCGCCGCCCAGTACCAGTCGGCCCACGTTGTGCACGCCCCAATCGAGCTCCTCGGCTCCGCGCAGGTCCGAGGAGCTCTCACGGAGAGACGAGGACCGCACGGGCCTGCTCGTCACTGATCTTACTGTCCGCCGCCGCAGCGGGCCCGATACGGAGCTGCGCAGCTGCTTAGGGTCCGCCACCGGCTGCGTGCTGGGTGGTCAGGCGCGGTGGATGGGTTAGATGTCGAGCGGTTATACTGGAGGTGTGAGACTGACAACGGTCTACCAAGGCAAGGCAATCGGGGGGGGGGGGGGGGGGGCATGCATGGAATACGGTCGACTCTCGATGGTACATCAAGCATATTGCAGTTAAAAAAAAAAACAAACAAAAAACAAGGGCGTGTTTAATAGGTGCGTAGATTCAAAACTAAGTACGGCACCAGGTCAGCATGCTTCTAAGATAAAACCCAAATGCATATGGCTAAGAGCCTTCAGTCAGTCAACTGATCAAACTACACAGGAGCTGACACTTAAATTGCTACGAGTCATCCATTTTCACTGGATTCAGGTGAACGAATTATGCTTTAAAAAATCGACTTAGCTCCAAGCGAATGCCAGCCTACACTCATAGAAAACAGTAGTGCAGTGGTCGCCCAGGCTCAGCCACCTCGCACCCACCTGCGCTGCTCGAAGGGCCGCTGGTGGTAGGCCACCTCGTCCGAAGGTGTGTGGTTGATGAGGCGCACCGTGGCCATGCCGTCCACGTAGTCGTCCAGTGTGATGATGGTGGACGCCTCGTCCACCTGCACGCTGGTGCTGATACCGCCGTACTGTGGGTAGGGATACGCACGAAAACGTATGTGGTGAGACGCGGCTACGAAGTGCCGACTTCGAGTTCTGATGTCAATTGCTGAGCAGATACGCAGCTACCTACCAACCGGTGATCACAAACATCAGTATTTACAACATCATTGATAGTGATCTGCACTATGCAGTCGTGTGCGTGGTTACGTGTCAGTACCAGGACTTGATAAGGATCCGCACCTTGTTTTTTAGGTGTAGCAGGCAGTCGTTGGTGATTTTGTAGGAGAAGTAGGTGGTCTCCTCCGTGGTTCCCGCCACGCGACATCGCAGCTCCTTGTTTTTGTCTCGCGGCCAGAACGGAAGACACGAGTCTGCGGAATAGAGAACGGGCCAGTTAGAGCACGACGAATGGAAGACTAAATATACAGCATCATTTGACATGGCGAGGAGTTGCTGAAACACCTCTGCAATAATAATTTGCAGTGGTAAATACCACCGATAGTTTAAACTCGCTACAATAGCCAGGAGAGCAAAAACAAAAGAAGAATGAATGAAAGAAAGAAAGAAAGACAGAGACAGACAGACAGACAGACAGACAGACAGACACACACACAGACAGACAGACAGACACAGACACACAGACAGACAGACACAGACAGACAGACAGACAGACAGACAGACAGACAGACAGACAAACAGACAGACAGACAGACAGACAGACAGACAGACAGACAGACAGACAAACAGACAGACGGCGGGCGCACTGACTTGCTGGAATGGTGAACCAGTCTTCCTCGGCCGGCGCCTCGTGAATCTGCACGTCATATGGCGCGTTGTTGGCCACCACCACGCTGGGTAGGAAGTACACCTGACGCGTCAGACCCGACCGGCTCAGCTGGATCTGCACGCTGATCTGTAACGTAGAGGAAACGGAAGGGGATATCAGTCAGTGCAAATACCACAAAGCTAGAAAACCGCACACATGGGGGATGCCACTATGGATCATTAATTATAATTCAAGATATTGATATAAAAATGCTGAATGAGACTAATAAGGAACTATTACAAACTTGTAGACTCAGAATGAATTATCACAAAGTTCTGTCTCCAAAAAGCCTTTGTTTACAGTCCCTTGCCCTGGTGATTAGAAGACCAAAAGTACCCACACCATCGTCCTTTCACCCATCTCCCCACCAACCCAAGCCCCCCCCCCCACATCCTCGCCCCTCCCCGCCCCGGCAGCAGTCCGTACAGTCAGATCCCGATGGCGCCGTGAGCCGGGCCGACGCCAGAACGCCACCGATGACGACCGTGTGGCGGGCCCGGAGCCGGGTCTGGGCGGTTCCAGACGCGCCGAGCGCTGCCGCTGCGGCCCCGGCATCGGGCGAAGCAGGGATGGAGAGGAGCTCAGGGCGGTGGACGGCTGGAAGGAGAGAGGAAGAGAGGAGAGGGGTTAGAGGAACGGGCAGGGACGGAGAGGAAGTTGGAGAGTAGTTAGAGGCTAGGGAATTATATTTCGGGAGGAAACAATGGAAGGCTGATGGTCTACAGAAAGGCTAGATGAAGAAGCGTGTTATCCGCTCACCGGGTTAGGCTCTCACTCGGGTTAGACTCCTCATGGAGAGTGTAGCAGCTCACCCCACAGGCATAGTCAGGCGTTATGAGTTTGCTTTCCCACCCCGCAGTATGTCGCTCGCTGTCTCACCCCGTAATCAGTGCTGTGACTGGCGCAGGTGACCGTTCCTCCACTGCCGACCGTGTCCAGTGAGAACTTATCCGACCACTCAGAGTCCTCCACACGCACCGACGCCTTCTTCTTGGAGAAGAACGAGCTCGGTTTGAAGGAGAACAGCACCGGCTCGGTGAATGTCTCCGGGTGGTAGATCAGGCTGGACGCCTCGCCCACCGTCTGCGGCCCGGGTCAGGTCAGGTCACAATGGGGTCATAGTGAGGTCACGACAGGGTCATCAATGTGTCTCAGTGGGGTCACAATGGGTCTCAGTGGGATCATAGTGGGTTTACAAGAGGGTTGTTCTGGGTGACACCAGGTCAAGAAGGATCAGATGGAGCGTCCGGAAAGACAAACCGTCCGTCGGTGCGCTCTAACCCTGTGCATGAAAAAGAAAAGGCAACAGATCACAGGACAGTAGCGGGTCTACAGTAGACAAATATCGGTACCGATGACTTGAGTGATTGCATTTGTTAGTCGCGGCCACGCGGAGCATAGACGGACGGCTCGAAATAATGGCTAATGGCTTAATTAAATAATGGCTGGAAGGAGCCTAGCGCTCTTGAATAACACAGGCTCAGTTATAAACAACAATTATAACTCATACGAGTATGATTCAGCTTGGTTCAGCTTCCTAAAGAAAAAAATCAGGCCGACATAATAGCACAGCGCTGGGATCCTTTCGTAAAAGAACAGAAAAGTAAAATTGATATTGGTTGTGTTGACGGAAATAAATACATGCCTCGTCGAGTGAATTGCAAGAAACTTCAGAGAAACTATCGCGAAATTATTAACGTCTGCACCGCTTATATGACTGGTTTTCAATCATTGATCATGCTAAATATGTGGCTAGCCGCAAATGGAAGCCAACTACTGCCGTAATAGCCGTGATAGTAGCCAAAATATCTCTTTCATAATAAACGCTACATGCTATATACCCGTATCATGTGTTTTGGAGGGAGGCATGCGTATGAAATCGCGACGATGGCAACATAGAAATCGATTCAGTAGCTATTATTTGCCACACCAGTCGTATCAAGCTTTGTGTATAAGCATTTAGGGGCCATGAATCACAGAAAAGGCTTGAGACTAACGATCTCTGTTAAAAGGATGGACCGTTTAAATGTTATTCCAGTTATAGCCATAACATCAGCTACATACTAACTGACGAAATAATAGTTTAAATGTCGATGATGATTTATCTGGGCACCATTTAGTCATCCGTCACCACATGCACGCGGCACGCCCGACCAAAACATCCACTGACGGTCGATCCACCAGAAGGCGCAGTTGAACTCTCCGAAGGCACTGATCCCAAAGGGTAAAACACAGATAACATATCACCGTGGGCTGAACATCAAGAGAATCATGAACGCCATGAAGCCCAACATTATCCAGAGAGTGCGCCATCGAAACTACCAGGCTGTGTGTGTAAAAGGTGACCAGAAAATATGACAACCACCACCAAGATTTAACCAGATATAAATGCAACCAAATCGCATGCGAGTCACCATGCGATGATAGAAAGGGTGTCCACTCATTTTCGCTGTGGTTCATAGTCCCTAGAAAAACGCCACAGACAGTTCAGCTTTGACCTGCTCTACAGAAATGCCACAGTCAGTCTGCGTACCCAGAAACCTCCACCGAACAAAAATATAATAAGGATCTCATCAGCTCAAAATAAAAAAGGTGCACAGTCAACATCAGAGTCTGTCCCGGCACACATCCGTTCACCGCCGCTTCACTTACATGAAACTCATCTATGCAATTCTGAAAACAGCGCACAGTCCGTCAGGGGGACCTGGAGGGGGTAGTGGTGCCACACCAGGGTCTGAGGGCGAGCTCGTACCACGGACGGCCGCGCCTCGGGTCGCGGTCTCTGCGGGTGTGGGGCGCCACAACACAGCACGTCTAGCAACAGGTCGACTTTACGTGGGAGGGCGGAGAGCAGTGCCGGCAGCGGCTGCCACTTCTCCGGCAGCCGGCGCGTCAACTGGTTGGTGAAGGTCATGACGGGTCATGGTAGGTTACAGTTCACAGTAGGTCACTGGTTACGGTAGGTTAGAGGCATCAAAAGCCTCAGCGTCACTCGGTTAGTCACAAGTCACTGCAGATCACGTCATCACAGGCCAAAGGCCTCAGAGCAGTTACTGCACCATCTAGTTATTCACAAGTCACCACAACTCAGAGACAGAGTCCTTGACCCTATTAGTGACAGGGTCCTGGTTAAGATCAGATGAATATCTTATTGGAATTGGAGTCAGGTCAGCGACACAACATCCTGCTGGACCTCCCAGTGACGGTCAGCGTCCTTATCAGATGTGCTGGAGGGACAGGGCTAGCTGCCAACGGTTACCAAAGCCTGTATCTAGCCTTCCATCGACTGGCAAAGGGCAGGAGATATGAGCGAAAACGAGTAAAAAGCAACTCAGATCGGTGCGTATGCATACCTACACGGATAAGAGGGAAAGAGCGTGAATCCTATAAATGTAGTAGAATCAAGCCGAGTAGTCACAAAGAAGCCACTACGTCGAAAGATCAGCGTGCCCTGAATGGCCAGCTAAGCACGGCAAGCCGCGTGACATCCGGCAGTCTACGGCGAACGACACCTTCCCGCGCCGTGGCTCAGTTCATGATCAGCTACTGCCCGGCCATAGACGTCCTCTGACCCGACCGGTCTGCGGAGCTACTGGTCACCAACACACCACGGCACCGGCCTGTCTCTGCTGTCAAGCCGGAGAAACATACCGAAATACACGGAGACACACAGACGAAGCACACAGGACGGGACGCCGTAACTGCACGGAGGCGGTCGGCGCTGAGCGGCTTCACACACAGAGAACACGACACACGGACAGACAGACAGACGAGGTATCAAACGAACTACCGAGCTGCTACCGACGTCGCGTCTCACCGTCCCACCGAACAGTGACACCATGGAGAGAGTGGAGGCCCAGCGCTGTAACGACAGGCACCCAGCGCGGGCACGCCCAGCGGGCGGTCAGGCGCCGTAGGACCCGATATTAACGACGTGGAGTTCAACAAACAGTCTGATGGCAAGCCGGCTAACTCTGACTGGCTAACCAAGAGGCAGTAAAGTGACGCGACGAATCGTGGCAGAACTGGAATTGCTCACTTACATCCAGTTAACATGCCAGTGAAAAGAAGGTGCTATTCATGGAAAATATTTATAAAAATGCATATTGCATGTTGCCACCCGTAAACACATGCAAGCTGAATGATTCCAGCGGCTGAATGATTGGCATACAGTGTTTTCTGCATCAATGCAATGAAGTAAATGGAAAAGGTTAGTAACTCAGCAGACCTGTCACTACCTTCATGGAATTAAGCTCCTTCTGATCGGCCCTCTTTTCTTGTCGTATTTTACCGTGACGCTGGAAATAGAGCAATACATTACACTTCAACGCGAGAACCCACAAACCAAGAATGGTAGGCAAAACAAGACAGCGACGAGGACGACGTGATCAGCATCACATTCAGCTGCATCCTTGGTTACAGGTTCGCGATCCTAAGCACATGTGCAAGAATCAAAGGGAGTTCAGATATAGCTGCGCGATCGTAACCACCATATAAAGACACCGTGACACACAAATACGATACGAATAATCATCAACCATGAACACATCCAACGACGCGGCACGATGCCAATCAATGACACGCGATACAAGGACTGAATATCACGAACCAATACACGTTCCTGCCGCATCCAGTCGTCCATTGGACGCCCAGTCTACCATACCTTATAGGTGAGCATTTTGCCGGTCCGGTTGACCATCCAGAAGGGCGCGTAGAGCGCCAGCTGGAGCGACCCGTCCACCGAGCGAGTGTGTACGCCCAGACTGAGGTCCGCCTGGTGGTCGCCGTCGGCGGAGATGAAGCTCCACACACTCAGCCCGTCCCGTCCGTCGGTCGGCTCCTCCAGTAGGTGGTTACACGCCCAGCGCCGGTCCAGGTAGCTGGAGAGCTGAGAGTGGGAAGACCAGGTTAGGCGGTGATAGATACTGCACACCTGGGGTCAGACAATGATACGTGCTAGGCAGCTGAGGTGAGGCAGCAATACCTACCGAACAGTCGGGAAGTAGGTAAGACGGTGATACATGCTGTCTGACACCACTGACTTTCTCTCCGCAATAGCTACCCAAAACATTTCTGCCGAAATCACATATCCACCAGTGACGGACCACCACTCACCTAAACATCATCCCCCTCAGCTAAACATTCCCTCTCTCAGTCGAGTTTTCTCCTACACAGCCTCACACCATCTTTCCATCGCATCCCTCTCCCCACCTCCATCCTAACCTGCAGTGTGACCCGTTCGCCGGCCTGGGCGGTGGACATCTGGCAGGACCCGCCGGGCGGCAGGACCACGGCCTCCAGGTCTCCCGGCCGCAGGTAGGTCACCTCGACAGGCAGCAGGTTACTGAGCACCGCCGGTGGCCGCAGGTGGATCCGATACGAGCGGGAAGTCAGCGTCTTGGCGCGTGACGCCTCGAAAAACACCGGCTTCATCTCACCGTGACACTGTGCGAGATGTACAGAGTTAGACATCGTATCTGACACTAAGACATCGAAGGTAAGATATTCTGAAAGGGGTGGATGGACATCCATTTTATCGAAAGTTGATGGCAATGTGCCCAGACTCTCAAGCATGAACGGCAAACAAGGAGTCCTCCGCAGTTAGCCTTCGCTCCTGCCTGGCCTGTCGGCAAGAACGCTCTCAAACACAACCAGTGACTCCCATTCCTCAATGACTCCAGCCCGCCACTAACTCCGATAAATTTCAAGCCAAAACCCGTGACTCTGGCCAGGCTCTTTGATGATTCCCTACAATCCCTAGAAAACAGCCTTGATGCTACGAATCCCCACTGACCAGCATACAGAACGGATGTCCTTCCTTGCCCTTCTTGCTGTCACACTTGAGTGTGCGGGTGACCTCGGGCGTGTTCTGCAGCTCTCGCCAGACGAACGGCTGAACGGATACGGTGTACCTGGACGGCAGGGGGCAGGGGAGGGACGGTGAGACAGCGCTACTCCGTCGGACAGGCGGAGTGTGTGACAATAGGCGAGCAGGATGGGCAGGTGTGCAGGAAAACACAGAAGGGGGATCGCACCAGGACCCAATCTTATAAAATGCCGTACTATTCTATTCACGGCGTTTGGTAACATTTACAGTGATACGAGTGCTGACAAAGGGATATCCGAGTCAACGAAATGATTCTTTAGACCGTCAACATACGATGTACTGAAATGCGTGAAAACCATATTGCATTTGATAGCCGTTGTCTGCATCTGAACTTCAGCCAGTGCTGCCATATCCATTCCACGGTGTTCATAAGATTGAGCTATGTGGTCGCCCCAACAGCCTCAGCAGAAAGGAAACTGAGACGAATTCTGAAACTTTCTCGAATGAGGGTTTATGGCTTCGTTGGACAGCTTTGGTCAAATCTATTGTGGACACCTTTGCATATTAACGAGTAATTTTACTATTATCAGCTCCTGCGTTGTTCTACTTTTAGGGCGAACGCTTCAGCTTATGAACCTCATCAAGCGAGTATCAGCTCCTTCCATGAGTCAGTCGCCGACCTTATGAATGTCTCCCACAGCTCAGTCCTATTCTCGTCCTCACCCTTCGACTCCGAAGAAGATCTCGGCGGTGTTTGAGTAGACGGCGGCGAGCGGCAGTGCCAGCATGCCGTGCGGCTCGGCCACGCCGACACAGTGCAGCTCATTGCCGCCGCTGTTCATGTAGTAGACCTTCACCGGTACGGACTGGTGGTTCTCCACCTGGGGATGAATAAAGGACGGTCAGTGACTCCCGCCGCTGTTCATGTAGTAGACCTTCACGGGCACCGACTGGTGGTTCTCCACCTGTGGATGAATACAGGATGGTCATTGGTCAGCAACTCCCGCCGCTGTTCATGTAGTAGACCTTCACGGGCACCGATTGGTTGTTCTCCACCTGTGGATGAATACAGGACGGTCAGTGACTCCCGCCGCTGCTCATGTAGTAGACCTTCACCAGCACCGACTGGTGGTTCTCCACCTAGGAATACACGTAAGAAGGCGCGTTGTCAGACGGACATCTTCAACAGGTCACCGATCAGTACATGAGCAGCGCAGGGTGGCGAGTGAGGACTGGCAGCACAAACAGGACACCGCTTTTCAGCAGCGGATTAAATGACATGTAAATAAAACGGTAGGGTGAGTCAGGACTGATAATAGCCAAGCACCGCCTTTCAGCAGCTAACAAGCAATAACAACGGTCTCCCATACGGGAGGTAGACGCTGGACAGTTATCACTGACCTATGGCCATCAGTTGCCATTCACCATCCCTTCCCGGACCAGCAGTCAGCCAGCCACTGCTCCTACCTTTCCCTGACCGCCAGACAGTCCATCAGTGCACCCACCTGCACACAGCTGCGTATGGTGACGATCTTGGAGTCAAAGTGGGCGCGGATGTCCGCCAGCAGACCGCGCGAGTCTCCGCCGTCACCTCGGCGCGGCGACACGCGGAAGAAACGACTCTCGGCGCGCGTCACAGGGATGTCAGCCGTCCAGTCCAGCGCCGGCACCTAAGGTCAGCGCAGGTCAGGTCAGGTCGCTGAGATTAGGTCGGGGAAGGTATGTCACTGACAACCCAGTCCAGTGCCGGCACCTGAGGTCGGGGCACGTCAGGTCACTGACACAATTCGGGATCTGATGTCAGGGAGGATATCAGGTCACTGAAAGTCCGGCCTATCGGCGGGACACGAGATCAGGTCAGAGCATTCACATTTTGACATTTTCACGACCTGAGGTCAGGCTAGAGCAGGTCAGTGACACTGCGCCGAAACCTAAGGTCAGGACGGTACAGGTCACTGATAGTTCAGTCCATCACTGGGACCTGCCAGAACAGGGCAAGTAACTGATATTACCCCGAGCCAGGGTAGGTCCGGTCACTGACATTGTGCCGGAATCTGAGGTCACAGCTGGGTAGGTAACTAAATGTCAGTCGTCCAATACAACACGAGGACCGATGGACGATGGAGCTCCAAAGTTAGTCACGTTATGGACTGAGCATTATCATGACGACACCTGCCTACACTCAACATTGCAATAAGGACGAGCCAGAAACCTAGCACAACACCTAGCCTGCTCATTAGTATACCACCTGAGTTCGGAAGTAAATTGGGATTTCAGGTGGCGCCGATTTCGATTAAGATGTCAATCAGCGCGCATATTCGGCACCTAGTTACTCTGGAATGCTTTTCCGTGGTTGGCGAATGAAATAACAGCAGTCGATGACAATTATGAACCACGCCGTATAACCGGCTGGCACGATACATCGTCGCTCCGAAACTTTGAAAACAGTACTTTACTTGCACCTCACCATTCATTAAATGGCAATATAAAAACGCATGATGAATAGGCTGGAACCACAAGCAGACTGATTCTGAATAATTGGTCGGACATAACATTGAAATAACACATCGGCTAAGTAAAAGTTTGAATAAATCAATCAATAATTGATATGTAGTTGTTCAGTCTTACAAAATCGCTTCGATAAGAACAGCACGCTCCTTCAACTGACTTTCACACGAGATTTTCTCGACTTAATTATGACCGGGAATTGCCCCTCCATGATTGCCGTTAACTCATATCTGACTTATCTGACTTTGCCCTATACAATGATTCTCTTTAACTGATCCTACCCCAACCAGCTACTCTTTTTGACCATCCCTGACCGGACCAGCGTGTACACCTGACTTCAACAACTCGACCAGTGCGACACTCTTCAACTAACTCAAGCAGCGACGCTCTGACTGGCCTCGACCCGACCAGCGTCCCCCCCCCCCCCGATTGACCCTAACCCGACCAGCGCGACACTCTCCAACTAACTCAACCAGCGTCTCTCTCCCTCTGACTGACCTCGACCCGCCCAGCGTCTCCCCCTGACTGACCTTGACCTGGCCAGCGTCTCTCCCTCTGACTGACCTTGACGCGGACGGTCTTGGTGTCGGCGGCGGCGGTGGAGGAGGCCGCCCGCTGTACGGAGGCCAGGTCACGGGCCATGAGGGGCACCTCGGCTCCCTCGTCCAGCACCACCTCCTCTATATCAGAGCCGTGCACCTGGACGGAGAGAAACCCGCGGTCATACACAGACACACACGAACAAATATAAGTGCACACAAACCCATGAGGAGCACCTCGGCGCCTTCTTCCAGTACCATATCCTCCACATCAGAGCCGTGAACCTGGACGGACGCACAGCGGCCGGGGATTACACAGGTCAGAAACAGAACCACACTGACATAACAAGACACTGACTGACAAGAGACTACAATGACATAAAATACAAGACTGTAAAACCAAAGGCAGCTCGGTCACAAACTCACTAACAACTTTGAAAAGGCCACGTACCAAGGACAGACTGACTCCTGGTAACTAACGTGTAACGTAACAACAAAAATTGGGCCCTTTGTAAAAAGGCCTTGGTGAGAGTGGGCCCTGGACCCAGTCTCACCAAGTGCGGTAAACTCAATTTTGGGGTAGTTTTTTATAGTTAAGTAGTGGGGTAGTTGGGGAGTTTACCCCAAACTGAGCTTACCGCACATAGTGAAATTAGGCCCGGGGCCCAATTTATTCACTGAGGATTAAATTTACTCACAATTTATTCACTGAGCCTATTTTATTCACTGAGGCCTCACTAACCGTGTACTCTCCGTTGGTAAGCAGTGAAGCACCACCACCCGCTGGTCCAGCTGGTAGTGTACTCTGGTAGGGAGTACACTGGTAGTGTACTAACCGTGTACTCTCCGTTGGTGAGTACCACCACCCGCTGGTCCAGCTGGTAGTGTACTCTGGTAGGGAGTGCACTGGTAGTGTACTAACCGTGTACTCTCCGTTGGTGAGCACCACCACCCGCTGGTCCAGCTGGTTCCGGATCAGGAAGTGGGCGTCAGTCTCGTCAGCCACCGGAGCGGTCAGCTCCAGAGCGTTGGCCAACGACTCCTGCAGGTCGGTCAGCACGTCCAGACACGTCCTGGTCACCGTCACCTCCAGCGGGTCCTGCAACACGTACAGAGTGTTCTCACTAGTGGTGTCAACCGGAACTTGGACCTTTGGAATTCTGTAGCAAGAGAGTTCTCATATACGCCCGGGCAAGTCCTAATCACTGTCACCCTCAGTGGGACGAAGAGAAAACTAGCAAGTATGTACAGTATTGTGCATCGTGACTGTACAGCACGTTCTCATAGAGTTCAGAGCATTGCCAATTACAAGGGTCTTGCAACGCCGTACTGAATCCATAAAAAAAAAACAAAGCGCGAAAGTCACGCGATTAACTACGGACTAGCATGTAATTCACTTCCCCCAATGAAGATGGAGTTCAGTGATGATAAAGAGCGCGATGTCGCACATGTTGTTATAACAAAACGTGGAAGTAGACGCCATGCCTCAGTTGCTGACGCAGCAATATGGGTTTGGAAAAGCACCGAGAAACACTTGTATGTTTTACATCGTCATCGCATCATTCAGCCGTCATCAGCGACCCCCACGACAACCCGCACATCTGTACACTAACCGTCGCAGAGAACCACCCTTACGGCATTACCTGACAAAGGGCACAAGTGTTCCTCAGGGTGCAGACAGACACCATGGCCACATTTGTCACATTACGTGCCATTTCTACACTTGTCTATAGGGTTGATCGGGGATGGGAGTGACCCACGTCAGCACCAGCTGTCGATGTCACACGAATGAAGAACCTGGCACGCCCTTTCCAACGCCAGAGTACGGCACAATACAAAAATAATTGTCCGATACCAATGGAACAGGGAACGGGTAGGGACAGCTCACAGCTTCAGGTAGCATTCGCATTTAGTAGAAATAATAGCAAAGATAATGACATCAATAGTACTCACTATACTTATATAATAAGGGGAAAATAATAATCCACTTATCACTAACATCTACCTTTATAAAATATAAGTAACAGAACCAGTATGCACAGCATAACACAGCTCATTCAATTATGACAATCACGTGAAGTACCAGCGCTTTGTGTAAAAACGGCCGTTCCGGTGGCATGACTTCCCTCCATCAATACTCTAACCTTTGCAGGCAGGCTATTGGGTAATGGGTAAAGCTCGCCACGCAAGAAAAGCGCCCATTACATTACAGCGAACACGAGCGGAGTCTAAATCGGTCCGGCGGAAATGAACGGCCCGAGCCAGAGGTCCGACGAGGGATTTCACCGACTAAAGAGTGCCACAGCTGAGCGTGGTGACATTCAGTAGCGCTTAATAAGTCAGTTACTTCAACTGTGATTCAATCTAGCCCCTAGAAGGTCATGTATGAGGTGGCAACCCGTGACTATTTACAACGACAAATAGGCTATTTGAAATAGTACTGTTCATATACACGCCAGGACGTCGTTTTTGCACTCAACGATTTCCAATTTCCAGTTTTTTTTTTTTTAAATAAAGGTTTCGTTTGTTGCCTTGCTAAGTACCACACATTCTGATAGCTACAAAGAATTCAGCTTGGCACCAATAAATACCGCAATATCCTAAAATATATCGACATCTCTAATATCTTCTAACGTAGCCCTCCCTCCAAAAGTATCCTGCATTTCATAGAAAGAAGTTGACGACCAGAGGGCAAAAAAAAAAAAAAAACGCCACGAAATCAATTGCAGAAATAAATATACTAAACATAGTCGAACGAACTGCGGTTACTGAGGGTGCAGCCGGCCATTAGCACCAACGCTCGTTCCGGGCGCGTGCCAGGGGCCTGTGCCGGTGCGGGGCACTGTTACACGCGGTCGGGTCACGGACCGCTTACAGGCGATTAACTACGTGCGGTGGACAGACGGACGGGGTGAACCGTCCCCCTCCCCTACAAAGGTCGAACAAGAGAGTTTGTCTGTACTTCGTCTACAGAACTCAACAGATGGAGCTGGGAGATCCGGCAACTCACAACTGTAATGGATTTGGCGGAGATAGAGATAAACAACACACGAGTGTTTTCCTGTCATGGGGTTTTCTAATATGGCTGTTGATCAGGCGGACTAACCTGATTGCTGAAGTCACTTCTGGACTGATTTAACCCACCTTGGTGTTGACGAGAATGACAAACTGCGTCAACCCACCTTGGTGCTGACGTGAATGACACACTGCGTTAACCCACCTTGGTGCTGACGTACATGACAAACTGCGTAAGCCGTAAACCCACCTTAGTGCTGACGTGAATGACAAACTGCGTCAACCCACCTTGGTGCTCACGTGAATGACACACTGCGTTAACCCTCCTTGGTGCTGACGTGAATGACAAACTGCGTTAGTTAACCCACCTTGGTGCAGACGTGAATGACAAACTGCGTCCACCCACCTTGTGCTGACGTGAATGACAAACTGCGTTAACCCACCTTAGTGCTGACGTGAATGCTGAGCACGGGCGGCTGAAAGTTGACCAGCTCGGCGACGTCGGAGCTGACCGAAGCCGGGGACAGGGGCGACGTGATCTCCGTGTGATCCTCGTTCTTCTCCACCTGCCTCACACGCCACGGGACGCATAAAGGTCACCAGAGGGTCAGAGGTCGCATAAGGGGTTACAACTGGATCGGGTTACAAAGAGTCATACGTGAGTCAGAAAGCATATAGCGACCGGTCATCTATGTATCAACTAAAAGTAGCATAACTAAGGTCTAAGGGTCATCAGTGTGTCAAAGGTCATATATCGGTCATCGGTATCGCGGAGGTCATATAACGATAATCGATGAGTCTTAGAACCCACAAAAAAGATCATGGGCCAAAAAGAGGTCCGAGAAGATACTAGGAGAGAGAAAACAGCCAGACACAGGGAGGGAAGGAATGACAGAGACGTACGTAGAGACAGAGAGGTAGAGAGAAGTACGTAAGATATATCGACACCTTTTTTAAACCCCACATCTGCTCTCCCGTGAATTTCCGGGAGGCACGAAAGATCTCCTTTTAAAAGTGTCCAATCGTCCGATCCTGATCAAATATGTGTGTTCGTAGGCCTGTTCTGGTATTGCTTTATCTGCCAAGACAGACAAACTTGAGAAAAATCGAGTGATTGTACCTTTTTTGAAGGTCTCTAACCAACTTGTCTGAAATTCACCGGAGAACAAATGTGAGGTTTAAAAAAGGTGTCGATATTTCTTCGGTAGGACATAGAGAGAAGGATGAAGACAAGGGTGATATTCGAGGTCAGCTGTTTCATTATATCAGTTTCTCAGGTCCTAGACTAAACAATGTTAAGATCCACCAGAACATAAGTACAGAGTCACTTTATATTACCAGTAGCTCTAATTTAGCATGCAGAGAAAATAGGTGGACACTTCGTCACCCGATCTAAAGCGAATCAACACCACCGCCGCACAGTGATGCAAATGGGGTTCACGAGTGGCCATAAATACCCAAAAGTCAAGTTTACCAAATCGAGTTAATTGCGATATGGCCGAGTAGGCAAATGTTTGGGGCATCTGAAATCACATGGTGTTCATGTTTTTGTCAAAACCGGCCTCGTGTATTATCGTCAGAAGTCGTGACATTTTCTAGGTCGTAAAATGACGGTCAGACACTCGCAAGTTCAAACGCCGCTGGTTTGCGTTCATTTCGTACAAATTGAAAAAAATATGCATGGGAATGATCCCCAAAGCCTTCTGCTTCTAATGCCGGGTCACAAAAAGCCGTATCTCATTCGCTTTGGCGGTAATCTGACTATTTATCATCATGTTGCAATCGCAGTTTTTTACTAAGAAAAAAATGCTTTCGTTTCACCTACAGCACTTAACACAGTGTGTGCCCGTTAGTCCACCATACCATAGCCTTCCCTAATCATTTCTGAGTCGCATCGTGAAAGAATTAAGGTGCTAGCACAGGGCTGACCGGCGCTACAGAGGTTTTTGTCCGGGCGGTCGGGCGCCGCAGTGGGCGCGCAGTGGGCGGGTGGGTGCCGTCGCGCGGCGTCCGGGCGGCGCGGCGGCGCGGCCACCCGGGCCGCCCGCTGCGCCACGGCACCCGACCGTGCCGGACGAAAACTTCTGTAGCGCCGGTCAGCCCTGTGCTAGCGCCTTAATTCTATCACTATGCGACTCAGAAATGATTAGGGAATGCTATGATATGGTGCACTAACGGGCACACACTGTGTGAAGTGCTGTAGGTGAATTGAAAGCAAATATTTTTGGTAAAAAACTGCGGTTGCAACATGATTACAAATAGTTAGCTCACCGCCAAACCAAAATAGATACGGCTTTTTATGACGTGGCATTAGAAGCAGCAGGTTTCGGGGATCATTTTCATGTATAATTTTTGCAGTTTGTGTGACATGAACGCACGCCAGCGGCACTTGAATTTCAAGTACCTGACAGTCATTTTACGACATCGAAAATGTCTCGACTTCTGACAATCATACACGAGGCCGGCTTTGACAAAAACATTAAAATCATACTTTTTCAGACACCCCAAACATTTGCCTGACTGACCATATTACGAATTATTCGATTAAGTGAACTTGAATTTTGGGCCTTTTTCGTATTTATGGCCACTCGTGAACCCCATTTGCATCACTGTGCGCCGTTCCATAACAGCCACCGCCGGTGACCAGGCAGCTAATCGAGCGTCTAATCCACCACACATTGCACCAATAGCGCGTCGGGAGCCATAATAAGGCCCTGACCAGGTGCCACACAGCCCCGCACCGCCGGTTGCCACGACAAGACAACACCGTGGCGGCGACAGAGAACGGTCGATGGCACCACCGTGACGACGCTTCACGCCCGGTGGTGCGTGGGACAAGTCCCAGCGGCATTGGCACTGCACGTGTGTGTATGGGAGGGTAATGAAGGTCGGGTGTAGTCTCTAGGTAAAGCGTTAGAAAGAATCGCTGACCTTTGACGGCAGGGTCTACCAGATGAATTAATGATTTTCAGAGCTAGGAATGTTGTACGCTGAATCACAAGCATTGTAGCTATATGACAGTGACAAGGTAAATATGTTTCAATCAAGCTTGCAAAGACCATTTAGTCAGAAAATTGCCAGTTTTCATTGCATTGCAGGGACGTTACCGCTTAAGTGTGCAACGTTTCCAGGAACACGTACCATCGAACAAGTCGGTGTTATTTCACGGTGCAACTTCGGCAGGGATGGGACTAATTTTACTGTTCGTATGTGAGACTGCTGACTGGGAAATTACTTGTAAAACAATACTGTATGTATGCTCATCGAAAATGTGAGAATACTCGCATCACCTTTCATAATTCTATCCGAAATAAAACTGTTTGCTATCGATTCCACGCAGAGTCAACCGACTTATACGAAGCACCCCAGTACAGTGTCTAGTTTAGCGTCCTAAGTTGGTGCGCATAATTACTTGTAACATTGTCGCCACTCCATTTACGACACAATGCTAATACTATTAACTGTTTGTCGTAGTTCATACAACAGGTAATGTTTATATGCATTCGAAGTTCACCCGTCAGTTAACTGCCCTAGCTTGCAACTTACGAGCACATACTGATGGCAGTCTATACAACAGCTCAAAACGATAGTTCGTCATAAAGATATGCTGTTTAAGTAGACGATATCATACAGCACCCATATAAAGGGCTAACATCACAGAGCTGTTGGCGAGACTATCAGTACAAAACGGCTCATAAAGAGACACGGAATGCACAGCACCGCCAGTCCGGAAGGTGCAGCAGCACCATTCTATGCCACTTCCCTAAACGACTAGCACACTCAGCCCCAACGATACTGCAGTGCAGCAGCCTCATACAAAGGTAGCGGCAGCATAAAATACCCGAGCCACTTATCTATAATTTACAAACGTCATGTCTAGTACAACCGAAGAGCAATCGTGGAAATGAAGTGTAGTACACGTACGCACGGACACTTTACCGACCCTATTGATCCAGTACCGGCGCCTTGGCGGAACGGACACCAGACCAGACCAGACCAGACCAGACCAGACCAGACCGGACCAGACCAGACCAGACCAGACCACACCGGAGCTGACGAGGCCAGGCCCGGCTGAAAGCAGAACCCACCTTCATGTGTAGCTCCCACGGAGAGAAGGAGACCATGCCGGCGTCCCGGCGCTCCACGCACTCGATGATGGGCTCCCAGGCGGCCAGCAGACTGTTGTAGTAGGCCAGCTCCAGCTTTAGGGAGGACTCGACCAGCAGCTGAGAATCGGCGGACACAGGGTCACGACACGTGAGGCGGGCGCTTTGGAGGCGGAGTGGTTTGCTGCTATGGGTCATTTCCACGTTAAACATTACACATCAAATCTTACCCATGCGTACAATTTTTAATACGATTTCCATAGAGATTCCATGCAATGGACGGACAATCTTATATGACACTAAGAAACTAATCTAAGAAGAATACCGATGAGATTTCGATGGACTTTAAGAAATTCCAAGACCAAAGATCGCACTCATCAATCTGCAATCTTAAAAGTAAACGCTTTATCACATAATCTTGGCGAAAGAGCACACAACTCCTTCATGTGAGACAAGCTGGGCGGCTCGCTCCTACCAGTCACCTCTCCGCCAGCACGCACCTTGGCGCTCCAGTCCTTGACCTGGGCCTCGAAGGAGGCATCGAGCAGCACGAGCGGCACGTTACGCGCGCCCACCACCTGTTCCACGGTGACACTCAGCGAGCGCATCTTGAAGATGAGTTCCTCGCGGTGGGCCTGCCTGGCCGCGCCGGTCGCCACCGCCGCCGGCGCCACCGAGTCGTCCTGCTGCATCGCCTCATCGGCTGTCTCTGTGGAAGGTTAGAATGGAGACGGGGTCACCCACAGCGATAGCAAGTTATGCGTCAGCGTACGCCACGCATGCATACGAAAAGGTAGGATTGGAAGTGGCCGATTTCGCTGAACTTCGCCACTCTCATAGTTCAATTGTAGGGGAACTTTAAGTTTCAGTGTCATAGCCCAGAGGTTCAGAATCTTCAGTTGAGAAATATGAATGACTCAACATTCAACAATGTTTCTGTACCGAAGAAAGCCTAAAGTCATCCTAGATTGATGCGCCGCACCAAACATGAGAAATCAATTTCGATTCCAGACACAACCAGACACAACCGCCTGAAATAGTGGAAGGTTGGTAAATTATCACTAATAGGACGTATCGAATTTACCGCAAAACATCTTTCACGGAAAGCATTAGGGGGTAACAGACGCTGTCTCCCAACAATTATTCTTATCATCACTGAGTACCGAACTAAGTCAAATGAGGAACTGAATGGATTTCTAACTTAATCTAGCTGCGCGCATGAGCGCTCACACAGACAGACACCTGATTAATTTATCAGTGCAGACTGGTTCCGCAAAGCAGGTCCGTGCACAAGCCACAGCTGACAACTGTGATCAAGCGGCCCGCCGATTTAGACTCTCCCGTACTGACATAACCGCTGGAGGTCGCCCCTACCGGTTTGACCATGAGCGTACGCACCTCAGCACTGGAGAAAGCGGCACAGCATTGGCAGCACCGTTCTTCTCCAGAGGAGCCAGACAAGATCGGGTACGAACTAGCCACCACAGGATTGTCAGGCGTGCGGCTAGGACACGGAAGTTAGATCCGCATTTTCTTGCTTGAATACCGGGGACAAATTAGATCCGCATTTCCTTTCTTGCATACCAAAGGGTGGGTGAAAATAATAGCAAGACTGCTTTGCCACATTCGATACCTAAGCTGAAATGTTAGCTGAACAAACATCCATACCTACCTGTATGCTGCTCATTCAAAACCGATATTATTCTCTAGCATCCGGTTAATTTAACAGATGGAAGACGTAATGCTATTACAGGAATTTCGATACCACAGGCCAGCATCTCTTCCGTGTCGTGTATGTGACAGAGGCCGACGTCCAACCGGAGCTGTATCCTATATCCGGGCCGTTGATTGACACTGTCCAACGCAGCGAACCTTGCAGAAACGGTATTTGTCTAATAACGCAGCAGTCAGCACCAGCGAGATGACTGAGATGCAATGCCCGGATAAGAAAGCAAGCATTGATGGATTAATGAAAAGCAACTACATATATTCAGCATCCGGGAGCATTGTAGCTTGACGACGTTGAACAGATTCTTCAGTCGTCGGAAACATCGGCCTCTCCATCCCGTTCCACACGTCAGGAGATACTCTGAGGCTTAAAATCCAGGAGGGACTGTCTCCCGCTGTTAAATAGGCCGAGTTTCACCAGTTGTATGGAATATTATTTGGACAGACATGGATATAATGAATGGAGCACCGGAACCATCTGTCTTCAGCTGAGCAGGTCACTGAGTAGGCTACAGCCGTTATTCGTTGCTGGTACAGAAAAAAGTAGGTTGTATACAAACGATGTAGGCCTGCAGTGCATAATGAACGGTATGATTATATGCATAGTGTATCGGGTACCGTAAACGTTTTCTCTCGGACCGGTCAATGATGGCCGTGCCCCCAGCCACCGACCCCGGCGGGCCGTCCCAAATGACCACCACATGAACCCGGTGATCAGACCGGTTCACCACGTCAACGTGCTCAGTCCACCGCACTCGGGCGGGCCCGTGCCACAAGTGGACAGACCGGTAGCTGCGTTCAAGGAGCGCCCAAAGCTCGGTCACCAGGTCGCAGCCTACATCTCCAGCTGCCACCGGTCCACGACCTGGTGCAAGTCTTTTCAGAAATATTGACCGACTCGCAGTACGTTTACTGGACACGGTATCTACGACAAGGGGTCAGTTAAAAAGTCACATAATTTTTAACGAAAAAATCGAGATACAGCCAACGCCGTATAAGCAAATGCACCTCTTAAGGTGGCCATCCACTGGTTAGGCCGAGCATTTTACGCGTAATCGTCATGTGCCTTGTGTGCACTGAAAAGTTGAAGCATTTCAATTTGTGAGAGAATAAAATATTATCGAGTTGTCAGCGCGTAACTCGGTGTCCGACAATCGCCGAATATTCAGCTGACTGCGCTTCATCGCGCATTCGGCGCTGAACTGCATCCATCCATACTCTATGTTAAATTCTGCACGTACTCAATCAGTGGACGGCGGGCTTTAGTTATACATACAGTTATACATGGCCAGTGAGTTAGGAGCTAAAATGGCGGACGTTAGTATGACAAACCAGGCAGGCTGGCAGATGCCAGAATGACCGCATCAAGCTAATAAAAATTGAGCCGCCATCGGCTGGGATACCTGAACAGTGACCTCCCACCAATCTCGACTGGCGAACACGGAACTACTCATGCGGTTAACCACTGCGCTGGTAATGTTTGGGGTCAGATTTCCATTAACGGACACTTGGACAAAAATGGTTAATCAACCACACTGACTCATTAGGCGGCAGAAAACTGCCTGTGAATTCTGACGGTAGGAAGTGGAACTCACCGGGCTGCAGGAACCAGAAGTTGAAGCTGTGCACGTCGCGCGTGTCCCACAGCTCGGTCCAGGCCGGCTGGGTGGTGGCCGGGTCCTCGGGTCGCGGCGGCGCGCTCGTCAGGCCGGAACTGATGGACGTCAGCAGGTGGATGGCCGCTGGGGACGGGGATACGTCACACGTCAGCTGATGTCGCTGGGACGTCAGGCCAGAGCTGATGGACGTCAGCAGGTGAATGGCCGCCGCGGACGGGGCATACGTGATACTTGAACTGATGATGCTGGGACATTAGGCCAGATCTGATGGAGGTGGATGGCCATCGCATATGGTATATACGTCAGACATGCTGATGTTGCTGAAAAGTGACTGACATCAGCTGGTAAAAGCAGACTGCATATCTGTTTAGGGAATCCTATGGCGAGCCAGAACTTGTAATGCACCCCACAACTTGATAAAAGGAAAATTTGCAACTATCAAAAGTTGTTACGGAATTTAGTGAACGCTTCTCTTGGCAGCGATTCAACGACTATTTTTTAGCAGTGCTTTAGTGTTTCGACGGTCGTCGACGTGGCCTGAGAAATGTGATGTGGTGCGCAGGAATCGTCTGATTCAATATATACGCATTGAAATGGCTTGAGCCACGTGTCTCCAGGTCTGTGTCGGAGATTTTTCGGATTTATTTGAGAGTTGAGAGTTGAGTCAAGTTGAATTGTCAACATTTTGGTGCCGAAACTGCCCGGGAATATTTACTGAGTTGTTCTTTCCCGTTTCCAGTCTGATATCGAGTATGGCGGAGATAGAGCGCTTGAAGCGTTCGAGGAACGCCGCCCGAGGGTGGCTGAATCGTGCAGGCGAGTCCCTGAGCGCCGCGCTGACAAGCAAAGATGCAAAGCAAAGTGACGCACAGACAAGCAAAGATGTGGATCTTTTTGAACTGGAAACCATGCTTGCTCTCTTTGATAGGAGGATGTGTAACTTTGAAGCCGCGCAGGCGGCTCTTGAGTCGGAACAATCTGAGGAGGACACCCTGTCCGACCAGTCTTCAGGGTCGTTGGACCAGTTGATCATGTTGAGAGCGAGGGCCATGAAACTGCTGGCAGTCCACCAAGCAGCACCAGCTTCTGGTGCTGGGATCCGAGGTGAGACCCCCAAGCTACCGAGGTTGGACCTGCCCCGTTTCTCTGGAAAACCCCAAGATTGGCCTGCATTTTGGGAGGCGTTTTGTGTCGCAGTACATGATTCGAAGTTAGCAGATGTCACAAAGCTCACCTATCTGAGAACGTTGCTGGATGGTGAGGCGAAGAGATGCGTGGAGGGGCTCGCATTGAGTAGCGAGAGTTACAAGATAACATGTGATCTTCTGCAAGAGCGGTTTGGACGCAAGGATTTAATAATATTTTCTCATGTGCAAGCTCTCCTCAACCTTGATCCTATTCCTTTGGACAAGCTCCGTGACCTAGTAGATATCCTCCTCATCCACATCAGAAGCCTGGAAGCCCTCGGCATTACAGGAGAGTCCTATGGTGTCCTTCTAAATCCTATCATCCTTTCCCGACTACCCAATGCTGTCCGCCTGGAGTGGGCCCGTGAAGCCGAAGAGAAGGAGGCTGATCTTGATCATCTCATCGGGTTCCTGACGAGGGAGGTGGAGCGGCGAGGTCGCTCTGGTGTCTACGTGGGACTGGCTGGTGCTGGAGCATCATCTTCATCTTCACGAGCCAGTGGTGCCGGCGCTTCTTCACGGGCTGGTGGTGCCGGAGTCTCCGCTCGGGCTGGCAGTGCCGGCGGTTCTTCATCTTCGAGAGGTGGGGGCAGCCACCCTGCTGTCACTAGCCGGCGCTCGTCTGTGTACACGGAGGCGCGGGGCACCGGCCCTGGTCTACCCTCCGGGGCAGCTCTGCACTCATCTGAGCTTAAGTGCTCTTTCTGCGGTAAGGGACATGTCTCTGAGAGATGTAGAGTGTTCCAGCGTCTGAATCTCCGTCAGAGATTTCAGAAGCTTCGTGAGTTGTACGCATGCTTCTCATGCCTTGAGGTGGGCCATCGGGCCACTGATTGTGGTAGGATGTGTGATCGTTGTGGAGGTAACCATCACCCATTGTTGTGCATGGGTAAGAGTGTCGGAGTGCCATCCCGTGTAGAGGTAGGTGGTGTGGAGAGGGAGCAGACAGCTGCTCTGCCTCAGTCTGACTCTAGTCAGACTCAGAGTCTCAGTGTGGTGGCTGATGCAGCCCCGGAGGGAGGGCCCCAGGGGGGGGGGTGGAGGTGCGTCACTGTCATGTGATGGAGCTAAGAAGTGTTCTGTGCTCCCTGTAGCAAGGGTGCTGGTGCAGGGTCACGGGGGGAGTCTTGTTGAGGCCAACCTTCTGTTGGATTCTGGCTCAGACACTACTTACGTGAGCAGTGCGCTTGTGCGCAAGGTGCAGCCGCGTTGGTGTGGCTCCACGGAGGTGGGGTATGCAGTGTTCGGAGGAGGAAAGGTTCCCAGAGCCACCCGTGACGTGTATGAGCTGAGTGTGAGTGGTTCACATGGTTCTGTATCTGCCCCTCAGAACCTCAGAGCTGTGGCGGTTCCAGCCATATGTGCCCCCCTCGCGCGTCCACTTCTGCCGGCCTCTGTTCTGGATCAGCTTGATGGTGTAGTCCTGGCTGATCCGCTAGAGAGTGAGAGTCTGCACATCGACATTCTGGTCGGTGTTGATCAGTTCTGGCAACTGGTAAGTGGGGAGACGCGAGTACTGCGAGAGGGTATGGTGGCTCAGAGAACTGTGTTCGGCTGGGTGCTGAGCGGTCAGGTGAGTGGCGTAGATGACCACAAGGGTGGATGTCAGCTCCTGTGTCTGGGTGACATACATGAGTCGGCGCTGCGCCGTCTGTGGTCACTGGAGGGAGTAGGTGTGACGGATGTGGCCACTGGTGATGAGTCTGATGTGATGACCACGTTCGAGTCCACTGTGGAACGATCAGCTGATGGTCGTTATGTGGTGAAACTGCCATGGAAGGAGGGTGCAGTTGACCTGTTGCAGGATAACCGAGCTAGTGCTGAGAAGCGGCTGACTGGTCTGGGACGTAAGCTGGAGCGGGACCCTGACCTGCGTGCCTGTTATGATGGTGCCCTGTGTGAGATGGAGGGGGCTGGGGTGATTACAGAGGTGCCTGTAGAGGAGCTGGTAACCCAGAACCCTACATTTTACCTGCCCCACCGTCCGGTAGTCAAGGAGAGCAGCACCTCTACTAAAGTCCGCCCAGTGTTCGATGCGTCCGCTCGTGGGCCTAATGGTGTCTCTTTGAACGATTGCTTGGAGGTGGGACCCTGCCTCCTGCCTAACCTGCTGGAGGTTCTCCTGCGTTTCAGGCGTTGGCCGTTCGCAGTGACCGCTGACATCACGAAAGCCTTTCTGCAGGTCGGTCTGAGTGTCGAGGATCAAAACACCCACCGTTTCCTGTGGGACTGTGACGGTCGTGTGCGTGTGATGAAGTCACAGAGGGTCATTTTTGGTGTCAGTAGTTCTCCCTTCCTCCTAAGTGCTACGATTAGACATCATTTGTCTCTGTACCCTGATTCTCCTGCCATTCGTGAGATGCGTGAGAATTTCTATGTGGATGACCTGTTGTCGGGTGCCGACAGCGAGAGTGAGGCCTCCGCGCTGCTCTCAGAGGCTCAGCGTGTGATGAGAGATGCCCACATGATGTTGACCAAGTGTCGCTCTAACAGCCCCCTGTTGTTCGACAAGGCGCAGGGTGTGTTTGGTGAGAGTGAGCATGTGAAGGTGCTCGGTGTGATCTGGAACCCGACTGATGACCTGTTCGCATTCCAGGGCGTGTCACTGCCTGACGACATTGTTCCCACAAAACGTGTCGTTCTCAGCTTTGTCGCACGCATGTTCGATCCCCTTGGATTCATCAGCCCGTTTGTGATGACTCTGAAATCTCTCTTCCAAGAGCTGTGGCAGCTGGGGTTGCACTGGGATGACCCGCTGCCGGAGTCCTGTCGTGAGACGTTCGCCAGATGGCTGAGTGGACTGGCGGTGCTGAAGGAGCTGCGTGTGCCGCGCCACTACTCGCCGAGCGCGTGGAGGGACGGCCACGGCGCTGAGCTTCTGGCATTCAGCGATGCATCGCCCAAAGGGTATGGAGCTACCGTTTACATCCGTGTCCCTTTGGAGGATGGGTCATTTCATGTGTCGCTGGTGATGGCAAAGAGCCGTGTGGCGCCTGTTAAGAAGCTTAGTCTTCCTAGGCTAGAGCTTCTTGGCTGCCTGATCGGGGCCCGCCTGGTCGTGTTCGTGAGGAGTGCGCTCCGTCTCTCGCACAGTACTCCGTGCCTCTGTTGGACTGATTCAATGGTAGCACTGGGTTGGATCAGGGCCGATCCACGTAAGTGGAAGGAGTTTGTGGCCAACAGAGTGACTGAAATTCAGAGTCTGACGGATCCTGAACGGTGGCAGCACTGTCCGGGGGAGTGTAACCCGGCTGACCTCACCACACGCGGGGTGTCTGCTGAGGAGCTTGTGAGGTCAGAGCTGTGGCTCAGTGGGCCATCTTGGCTGTCACACTGTCACACACCTGACGTGAACCAGTCTGTCTTGGTGCAGCACGATTTGTCCGGCGTCTCTGTGAGTTCTCCCGGAGGTGACGTGTGCCCCCGTGCAGGTGACGTGTGCCCCCGTGGAGGTGACGTGTGTTCCCTTGGTGGTGATGTGTACAGAGCTGGTGGTGATGTGAGCACGCCTGTGTGCTCACCAGGCGGTACCGTGCGCACGCCTGTGTGCTCGCCTGGCTGTGCTGTGTGCACGCCTGTGTGCTCGCCTGGTGGTGCTGTGTGCTCGTCCGGCGGTGCGGCGTGCTCGCCTGGCGGGGCTGTGCGCACTCCCGGCGCAGCCGTGTGCTCGCCTGGCGGTGCTGTGTGCTCGCCTGGCGGTGCTGTGTGCTCGTCCGGCGGTGCGGCGTGCTCGCCTGGCGGGGCTGTGCGCACTCCCGTGTGCTCGCCTGGCTGGGCTGTGTGCTCACCCGGCGCTGCCGTGTGCTCGCCCGGTGCTACCTTGTGCACACCGGACGGAGCTGTGTGTTCGTTTGACGAGAAGGTGTCTGATCCTATTACTGAGGAGATGGTTGAAGTAGAGTCCTTCTGTTTGGTGACTTCACAGTTTGAGGAAGTATTTCCTGTTGAACGCTGGGGTAAGATGTCCAAGGCTGTCCGTGTGGCGGGCTGGGTCCGTCGATTTATACGGAACTGTCGTGTCCCAGCTGACAGGTGCAGTCTTCCTGATCTGACGACTCTCGAGCTAGCTGACGCGAGGCTCGATCTGCTGCGACAGGAGCAGCGGAAGGCGTTTTCTGGAGAATGGAGCGCGTTGGAGAAGCGCCAGTCGCTGCCGAAGGGCTCGCGCCTGATCGGTCTCGACCCGTTTATCGCTGACGATAGACTTCTCAGAGTGAGGGGTCGGCTGGAGTTCTCTGACTTGATGTACGAGGAGAAGCACCCGATTCTGCTGCCAAAATGTCACTTGGCTGTGCTTTTGGCAAGAGAGCAGCATGTTCTTCTGAAACATGCGGGTGTCTCAACGATGATGACTTCGCTCAGAGGAGCGTATTGGATCTTGGGCTTGCGCTGCATCGCCAAGGGTGTGAAGCGCGGCTGTGTCAGCTGCCTTCGTCACGATTCTCGACCGTTCAACGAGGAGGCGGCGCCTCTGCCGGGCTGCAGAGTGACTCAGTCCCCTCCATTCACAGTGACTGGTGTTGATTTTGGTGGTCCCCTGTTCAGCGTCGATTTTCCACGGAAGAAGTTTTACGTGTGCCTGTTCACGTGTGCTGTCACGCGTGCCGTTCACCTTGAAATGACTGACGCCCTGTCGTTACCGGCATTCATGCTAGCACTCAGGCGTTTTTCAGCCAGGCGCGGTCTACCAAGGATCATGTACTCTGACAACGCACCTACTTTCAGGGGAGCTGATAAGCAGCTGCAGCGTGTCTACAGTCATCTGGCGCCTGAGTGGCGCTTCATTGTACCGCATTCGCCGTGGTGGGGCGGATGGTGGGAACGGCTCATCCGTTCCGTGAAAGTGGGCCTGCGCAAGTCGCTTGGGTCACGCTGTCTGTCACGGGATGAGCTGGAGACTGTGTTGTTAGAAGTTGAGTGTTGTGTTAACTCCCGTCCATTGACGTTTGTTGGTGATGGACTGGACTCGAGCCCCCCGATCACCCCGGCGCACTTTCTGACGGGCAGAGGGACCGGGTTCTCCTCGCGGGTGGTGGAGGACCCTGCCTGTGTGAATGCGAAGGCGCTGACTGAGAGAGCTCGTGTGTGTGAGAAGCGTCTGGCTAGATTTTGGTCTGTCTGGTACAAGGAGTATGTCAGGACCCTGCCGCCTTCTGTCAGAAGGTTCAGGCCTCAAGGTAAGCTATCCGAGGGCTCCATGGTCATGCTGCAGGAGGATAACGTGCCGCGCATGAGGTGGGTACATGGCGTCGTCACGAGACTGATCACCGGCCGAGACGGAAAAGTGAGGTCGGCAGAAGTCCGGACTCCGTCTGGTCTAAAAACCCGTCCCATCCAGAGGCTTTTTGACCTCGACCCGCTGTCCTCTGAGCCGTGAACCGCTCACATTCGTCGGCGGTGTTAGACCGCAGTGTTCGTCAGCAGTGTTAATTTGTTTTTCTCTCGTCTGCGATTACAGGCAAGGTAGTGTTGGGCGCCGACTGTAGATGTCGCTCTGAGCAGTGAGGCGGCGTGCAGAGGACGCGCTGAGTTGACAGTTGCGTGTGGTGGCTCGCAGAGTGCAGGGTGCAAGTGGCCCTGGTGATGTGACAAGTTTGATGTCGTTTGCATCGAGGTTGGCGTTTGTTTGTTTGAAGAGTGGTGAATCGATTTACGTTTGCGTTTGTAGACTGATGCGTTTGACTCAGATTCTCTGTCTGAATCTGTCTGAATTGAATTAAGTGATGCAGTCTTGTTCGCTGTGAACTATGGATCTGTCGTTGTAAGATCGGTTCCGTACCTGTGTGAAACGCGCCCTCTGAAGTTCGCATTTCAGGGGGGAGGATGTTACGGAATTTAGTGAACGCTTCTCTTGGCAGCGATTCAACGACTATTTTTTAGCAGTGGTTTAGTGTTTCGACGGTCGTCGACGTGGCCTGAGAAATGTGATGTGGTGCGCAGGAATCGTCTGATTCAATATATACGCATTGAAATGGCTTGAGCCACGTGTCTCCAGGTCTGTGTCGGAGATTTTTCGGATTTATTTGAGAGTTGAGAGTTGAGTCAAGTTGAATTGTCAACAAAAGTCTTACAAATGACGCAGATTTAAAACACGGCCCGTCATCTTGCTAACAACGGGTTTTAGTGATAACCAATAACCATGATAACTATTGCTTAGTGTCATCGTGGGCTACATAGTACATACCTATCCCGACGGCACTTATTTCACATATAAATGTGTGTATGCCAGGTATTACTGCATATGTAGTTCATACCGAAATCGCACTTAGCTTCCTGAGTTCCAGTGTGCAAAGTCTAGGTAAAATTCCACGACAAAACCAGAACGGTTATATCCAGTGGGGTGCGGCCCACAAATGAGACCGCACAGTAATAATTCAGTCACACATGGGGCGAATGTCGGGGTTAACTCTAGTTGAATATGT